TGCTAAGCTGTTTGAGATCAGAAAAAAATAATAGCATTCTTCCTGCACTTGCATACTACTTGGTAACTCAGTGTTACAATTCTGACACCAAATTTCCAGCAGACACCAATTGGATGTCCTAAAATTTAATTCAGTTCTGACACCATCTGCCCACAATGAACAGGTCCACCTGGATCCTGGATATTCTACACAAAAATCAACTAGGAGGCTGAGGCTTTGTAACATAGAGCCACTTCCTGAAGGATGTGCAACCAATCATGACACTGATGGAGTCCTGGCTCAGGAGAGGAGTGGGTGGACGCTCCCCTGGGGGCTGGCTTTTAGCCTCTGTTGTGTACAACTGCTGGGCAGTGAGGCCATTACTTCCAGGAAGAAAGAAAGGTGTGGTGGTGAGGGACCCATCAGGGGGAGGGGTACAGATGATGGGCTCTGGGGAGAAAGGAGTATTGGGACAACCTGGGTGGCAGGAAAAGGAGTTATGTTTTATTGGAGCAGACAGTCTACCAACATGGTGAGGACTGTATTTCACCACAGGAGGAGGGCAAGGGAGGGTGATGGGAGTGCTCAGAACACTAGGGTTGTAAAAATTATAACTGACAAAAGGGATGGTATTGGGACAGAGGGGCCATGTCAGAAAAGACTGATTACATCAGGGCAGATAGGTTGCCAATGGTTGTGGGGCCCACTGGGGTTGTTAGAGTGGGTCAGTGAGGGTGTCCTGGGTGATCAGGGCGAGAGTATGAAGGAGGAGCACGCAGACTTGTCCAAGGCAATTGCAGATGTGAGAATACTTTCCCTGACAAGGGGACATTGTGAATGGCAGTGTGCATGGAATGAGAGATCACTGCCGCAGGCAGGGTGGCACACACCAGCAATCTCAGCACTTGGGAGGCTGAGGCAGAAGAATCACAAGTACAAGGCCAGCCTGGGCTTCCTGAGAACCTGTCTCCAAAAAAAAATGGTGGGGAAAGGCAGTATGGACTAGGTGCAGCCATGGTTTCTGCATAGTGTGAAACACATTAATATGGTCACGTGACCAGTGTCCAGAATTCTTTCATCTTGTAAACTGAAACTCTGTGCCTGTCACCAGTGGGTGGTATTTGTGAAGTTTCCCTTTAAGTTCGGGACCCTTCACTCTGGACTTTGTCCCAGGTCCTTGATTTCTATCACAGAATAAAAATTCTGGACAAGTCACAATGATAAGAAAATTTGGCAGAGCTTTATTGAGCAAGCAAGCAGGGAACAAAGGCTCACTCTAATAGGAAGAGCAAGTGTGCTCCAAAGGAGACACATGGAGCAGTTCTGACATCAAGGGTAAGAAAGGTGGGTTACAGGTTTTAGCTCAAATTCACCTTAGGACAAGGGCTCCTCTTTTTTTCTGACACCTGGTATATTTAGTGGCTTTTGCTGTTAAACTGTCTTGCCAATTGGGCCCAAAGATTTCAAAGTTGGCCGGCTCATTAAATTTGGGTCACTGTGACATAGACATTTGAATATCCGTTTCAACAAAGGTTGGGTTGTGCCAGATGCTTCCTTCAGGACAGGGGTCCATCCTGTGATCAATATTTTTCTTTATAGACACTTTTTGTGCCCAGAGGAGTCATTTTCCCAGGATAAGTGTCTTCCTTTAAGATATCTTACTCTGTTCTCAGAACACACTAATTATTTTGGAGGGCAAGTGGACAAGATCAGGGAGAGAGCTGCTCTGATCCCCCCTCGCCTTTTTTTTCTTTTTACTAAATATACTGCAGCTTATTAGAGGGTGTGTAAGGCTTAAAGCAAAGAAAGCAGTATCTGTAGGTTTTTAATTGAGCTATTCCTTAATACAATGCTTATTTGTAAATTCCTGGCTTCAGTTTCCCATGCTTCAATTTCCCTGATCTATCCTCCAGCTGGGGGCATGGCTCAAGTGATAGACTGTCTGCCTAGCAAGCATGAGGCCCTGAGTTCAAACTCCAGTACTGCCAAAAGAAAAAAAAAACTTTTACTTTTAACCTCTTTGTGTCTCTATTGCTTAAAGTACTGGGGTTTGGGGGTTTTTTCCCATTATTGGCAGTACTGGGGTTTGAACTCAGGGCCTCAAGCTTGCTTGATAGGCCTTCTACCCCTTGAGCCACTCCACCAGTCCTTTGGCTTTGGTTGTTTTTCAAATAGAGTCATGCATTTACACTTTCTGCATAGCTGGAATGATAGGTGCATGCCATATACCCAGCTTTTATTGGTTGAGATGGGGTCTCTCAAACTTTTTTCTCTAGCTGATCTCAAACCACAATACTCCAGATCTCCGCCTCCCAAGTAGCTAGGATGATAGGCACAAACCACGGGACCCAAGTGGATTTCTTTTTTTTACTTTTTTTTTTTTTTTTTGGTGGTACTGGGGTTTGAACTCAGGGCCTCATGCTTGCTAGGCAGGCACTCTAGCACTTGAACCACACCTCCAGCCTCCCAAGCAGGTGTCTTATAGAAATCTCATCTGAAAATCCCTGCCTTTTAATTGGGGTGTTTAATCCATGTATATTTAGTGCAATTTAATTGTATGCTCCAATTTAAATATACTGTTTTCCTATTTTCTACTTTTTCGTCTGTCCTTTGTTCTCTTTTTTCCTTTATCTCCTTTTGGATTAAGCATTGTTGAGTTTTGTTTGTTTATTTTTTAGACAGGGTTTGCTAACGTTGCCCAGGCTGGCCTAAAACTCAAATCCTCTAAATACCTGGGATTACAGGCATGGACCACCATGCCCAGCTGAGTATTGTTTCATGATTTCATTTTTCTCCTCTGTTGGTTTATTAACTGAAAGTCTTCATTTCATCATTTAATGATTGTTTTAGCATTTATAATAGACTCTTCAACTTACCACAATTTACTTGCAAGTAATATTGTAGCTACAGTTGTAAAGTAGGATCACTGAGCACTAGTTACCAACTTGCTTGAGTGTTATGATACAGACACACATTCAAGCTATGCAAAGTGGATTTTTTACTGGCAGATAGGCAGCAAGGAAAACAGAAGCCAAGGATTCACTGTGAGCCAGTCTCCAGGGCTCATGAACGTTCCATCCATCCTGTGTGAATGGAGTCTTGTCTGTGTGTGCCCCACTTATGCCATAGATGAGGGACCCCAGAACGCAGCTCACTCCAAGATTGATTGATTTTTGCAGTACTGGGGCTTGAACTCAGGACCTCACACTTGTTACACAGGCACCCTTACCACTCTGCCAGCCTTTTTTGTGTTGGTATTTTCAATATAAGTTCTCTCAAACTTTCCCCTGGCTGGCTTCAAACTGCGATCCTCCTGATCTCTGCCTCCTGAGTAGGTAGGATTACAGGCATGAGCCACAGGTTCCTGGCTCACTCAGGCTTTATACCAGATAGCAAAGCACCAGTGTCCAGCTTCTCTCTCTCTTGTTCTATTTTATTTGTTTTTTTTGGGTTTTTTTTTTTTTTGGTAGCACTGGGGTTTGAATTCAGGGCCTCATCTTGATGGCAGGCGCTTTTACCACTTGAGCTAGTCCACCAGCCCTCCAGCTCCCTTCATTCTTTATGTGGATCCAAAACTGACAGACTGGCCTGATAGAGTGGCTCAAGTGGTAGAGTGTCTGCCTAGCAAGTGTGAGACCCTGAGTTCAAACCCCAGTGCCACCAAAAAATAAGCAAAACTGACATCCTTTACTTCTCACTTGCAAGGCTTGCTTGCTTTCACTTTTTTTGTAATGCAGATCTGGTGATGAGTTCATTCAGCTTTTGTATGTCTGTTAAATGGCTTTATTTTTGTCTTGTTTTTGAAAGATACTTTTGCCAAGTCGACTTTTTAGTTCTTTCAGTGATTTAAAGATGATGCTTGACTGTGGTGTTCTTTTCCTCACTTCCAGCTAAAAGTTTTCTGTCATCCTCTGCAGTAAAGTGTCTTTTTTCTCTGGCTGCTTTGGAGATTTTCCTATCATCTCTGATTCTGGGAATTTGATTATAATATGCATGGTGTAGTTTTCTTCAAGTCTCTTGCTGTAGACTTTATTTTTTATCTTTTTGGTGATACTGGGGATTGAACCCAGGACCTTCCATGTGCTGGGTACCTGCTCTACCACTGAGCCAGATCCCCAGCCCTCTTCAAGTCTCTTGTACCTGGGGTTCATTGGGACACTTGGACCTGGAGGTGTCATAATTTTCATCATATTTGGAATATTTTCAGCCGGTATTTCTTCAACTATTTTTCTGTGCTCCCCATCTTTTGGGTCGAAGTTGTCCCACAGTTCACTGACACTTAGTGCATTTTTTTTTCAATCTTTTCCTCTCAGTGCAATTCAGGTAGTAGTCTTATGTCTACCTGACATAAGACTATGTCTTCAAGTTCACTAATCTTTTCTTCTGCAATAATCTGCTGTTATCCTTATCCTGTGTATTTTTCACCTCAGAATGAGTTTTCATCTTTAAAAAAGAGTTCAATTTGGATCTTTTTTTTCTTGTATTTCATGACCCTTTAACTTTTTAGTTTAAAAGTTAACTCATGATTTTTTATTGATGTCAGACATTGGTGATTTTGCATTGTTGGATAGATTTTTTTTTTTTGTATTTCTATGAATAGTCTTGAATTTTTTTCTGTAATAGCTTGATTAATTCCAAGTGTCGTTTTTTAATCTTTTTTAGTCAGTATCAGAGAAGTGTATAGGGTAGGGTTAATCTTTCCCTGCTACTGAGGCAAGACCTTACCCAAACGCCCACTGAATTGTGAGTGCAGAGATCTCTCTGCTACTGCTAGGAGCGCACAGGAGCCAAAGCAGCCAGAGTTCACAGGGACGAATATTGGAGAGGAAAGAAAAAGGCAGGGAGAGAGCTCCAGGGGTCTGCAGAGGGTCTCCCACATGCAACTATTTCAATCAACGGTCCTACACCAAAGGAGTGAGAGCGTCCAGACCCACAAACCCGGGCCCTCAGTCTGCCTGGCAACAGAGGACGTCATCGCTGGCGCACGCGTGACGTCAGAGATAGGCGCCACACTTGAAGAGGGAGCGGGAGGCGTTGACCCGGTGGGCGCTGTCATGGAGCTGGTGCAGCAAGCGCGGGAACTGGGACGCTGGGCGGCAGAAGAGATGGGGGTCCCCGTGGCCGCCCGAGCCCCGGAGTCGACGCTGCGCAGGTGAGGACTTTTCCTTCCCGAAGACAGTCCCCGGGAGTGAGACCCACACACACACTCATGCAGGACGAGACCCCGCCCCCGAGTTACTGAGGGCTGCCCACCCTAGGAGTAGTGTGTTCAGGAAGAGGATCCTGGTGGTGACCCCTGCACTCCCACCTGGAATGCCGCGCAGAGTGGGGTTCCTGGCACCAGTGAGGATCGTCCATAAGTTAATGGAGACTCCTGCCCGAGTGGAAATCGGATCTCCAGAGTAGCACTGTCCCTGCAGCACCTCACCACCGCCACCTCCTTAGGCAGGGCGGACACTGAAGAGTTAGCAGTGACCACCCCACTGGGGCTGATGACCCCTACCTGGCCCTGAGAGGACTTCCTGGCGGTGCACCTCTCACCTGGCCTCTGGAAGTGACTGGAACTAACCCTGTCCTTGGAGATGGAATGAGGGTACCCCACACTTCTCAGCCACCTTCTCAGTGACCCCCCTCCAACCCACAAAACCCAGGCCTTCTCTCCCTGAGAAGTGAGAACTCCTAGGATAGACTTTCTCACCATCGTTCCCCAGGGAAGGAGGGGCCCTCCACCTGTGTGAGGCCTCAGGTACATGTTGACACACTGCTCCCACAGGCTGTGTCTGGGCCAGGGGGCTGACATCTGGGCCTACGTCTTGCAGCATGTGCACAGTCAGAGGTGAGCCAAGCCACTGCAGGTGAAGGGCAAGGGAGGGGCTTAGGCAAGTCCTACAACAACTTCCCTTCCTCCATCTCTCCACTGTAGGAGTGTCAAGAAGATCCGGGGAAACCTACTGTGGTAACAACTTCTCAAGACTGTCCCTATCTTCCCCAGTCCCATCTAGCCTTGTCCCCACCCATCCACAGCCTCACACTTCTGCCCTCCCTCTTAACACTCAATTGTCTCCTAACTCCAGTCTCATTTACTCAGGTACGGCTACCAAGACAGTCCAGAGGTGAGAAACATTTGCTACAAGGTCCTTTTCCATCCAAAACAGAACTTGTAGATATTTTGCCAGGTTTACTGTGTCTGTGTCACAAAACAGCCCTGATCCCTCTCAGGGATTATAGTCCAGGGGGAGCTGGACATGAGCTGGGGTGGGAGGGCACATGGATATGGAGCATCAAAGCTGGTAAGAGGAAATGGGGGAAGGGATAGGTTTGGGAGAGATGCTAAGGCCACTGTGGGACCCAATGTGTATAAGGATCCCAGAAGATATGTAGGGGGAGGTTTTCTGGAGGCTCTAAATGTAGGAATCAGGGAAGAGATCTACTAGGTTAGAGGTGCAAGTGTCACCAACACAGGCAGAATACAGGGTGGGAGTGTGGGTGAGGATCCTAAGTTTCTTCCTGGAGTCAGATAGAACCTTAGTACTTCTGAGTCAGACACAGAAGCTGCTTAGAAAACACTGTATGCCACATTCCCAGCAATTGAGAAGTCTGGTATCCACAAAAGGTGATCCAGCTTGGCTAAGCCCCAATCCACCAAGCATCTGACCCTGAAGCTGATCTCACCAGGTCCGTCGGAAGTTGGAGCTGGAAGCCACTGTAGCCCGCCTACAGGCAGAGATCCAAGAGTTAGACCAGAGTCTGGACCTGATGGAACGAGAGACCGAGGCTCAGGGTAACCCATGGGGCCAGGAAGATGGTCAGTGAAATGCAGGGTGGGGCAGGCACTAATGGCCACCCCTTTTCCTCCCACAGACATGACCACAGAGCAGGCCCTGCAGAGCATGCGAGACACCCAGCATCGAGCTCTTCTCCTCCGGGCACAAGCTGGGGCTGTTCGAAGACAGCAGCGAGGGCTGCAAGAGCCTGTGCAGCGGCTGCAGAATCAGCTTAGACGCCTGCAGGACATGGAGAGGTGGGCTTCTGACCCAGTGGCCACACATGCTCCTTAGAGACACCATGCTCGGCCCTGATCCCTTCTGGATTCCAGGACTCTGAACACTAATAGACTTGAGATCCATTAGGCCAAGGAGTTTAGTCATCTCACGCACCTGTATTTCCAGTGCCAAGAATGGAACCAACTGAATATCTAGAACACCAGCTCTGGGGAAACAATAGGCCCAGGACAAGTTCCTGCCCTCCTGGAGCTATGCTCTGATGTGGAGAAGGCAGATCTTAAGATAGAAAACAGATCCTGTAACTTCAGGTGGAGAGAGGGATGCTGCTTTAGCTGGAGTGCTCAGGGCAGGACTCTGAGGAGGTAGCATTTGAGTTGAAGGAGGAGTTTCCACAGAGAGAGAATAACAAGAGCAGAAGAAAGGCTGTGCTAGGCCTTGGGGAAGAACAGCCAGGAGGCTGGTGCAACTTAGGTTTTGTAGGCCAGGGAGACAACACGAAGCAGTGAGGTTGGAGAGGCAGACATTGCCATGGAGGCATTGGTGTTTTACTCTGAGACAGAGTTTATGTCCTGGCTTGATCACATGGGAGTGTATGATCTTGGGCAAAATATTAAACTTTTAACACAGAGAAGTTAGATCAGTTTCTAAGATCTATGGGATGGGGCCAGTATTCATACCAACTTTTTCTGATAATTAGGTGAACTAAGTTGTGTAAAGTGCTCAGAAGAGTAAACTCTGAATGCAGTGGGAAAACATCACATTTCTGTGAAGGGTTTTTAGCAGTGACATGATATTCCCTAGGTTTTAACAGGATTGTTGACCACGGGAAAGAGACACACTAAGGGGGTAAGGGCAGGGAGACCCATAAGGAGGCCAATACAGGAGTCCCTCCAGGAGATGACAGTGGTTTAATCTTGGAGGTGGCCCATGGGACCCAGGCTCAGGGGTCTCTGGACTAGCTATTGCTGGCAGTGGGAAAGGATGGGCACAGACACCTGTTCTCCCCAGGACCCCAGCCCCAATTGCACCCCTCCCTCCAGGAATGCCAAGGTGGATGTGACCTTTGGACCCCTGATGTCAGCAGCCATGGCCCTGGAGCCTATAGTCTTGGTGAGAGTCCTGGGCTGTGGAGGAAGGAGCAAGGATGCCAGGTCAGGCAGGTACCTGAATGCCCTCCATTCCTCCCCCTGCTTCCTAGCGTGATGTCCGAGCAGCTTGCATTCTCCGGGCCCAGTTCCTGCAGAACCTCCTGATTCCCCCATCCAGAGGAGGCTGTGTCCCGTGAGTGACCCCAGGAACCCTGCAAAAAACCTGGTTTTTAGGGGTGAGAGGTCACTGGTTTATTAACTCCTCAGACACTGAGCTTCTGGGCTTTGTCGGGTTTCCCAGGCTGGAGTGAGGAGAAGACAGACTCGTCATAGACAGCCACAGCCAGGTGACCAGGGGAAGAGGCTCTGGGGACCCAGAGGAGGTCCTTATCTAGCTGAGAAGACAGGGAGGGGAGGGACCTGGTGAGGAGAAGGGTGAAGGGTCGAAAAGGTGTCCCAGTAAATAGCACATAGAAAAGCCCAAAAGTTGGTATAATTGGGGAACTCAAGTCTAGCAGGTACAGATGGACTCAATTTCCTCATCTGTAAAATGGGGACAATGACAGCCCAGGCCTTTTAGGGTGGTAGTGATACTTAGAGGGATAATTGATGTGTCATTACATTCTCTGTCCCCTTACCCAACCACACAGAAGCTCTCGTGATGACTACTTTGGAACTTCCTACCAGCAGTGGCTTAGCACAGTGGAGGTGAGAGGGCGGAGCTCCCAGGAAAGGCTACACCCTCCAGCCCATTACCAAACCTCTGGGTACCAGTACCTACTCTCCTTCTGTGCATTCTTCCCCTGTGTCCTACCCTGACTTCCCTTTCCTCTGCTAGACTTTGCTGACAAATCACCCCCCAGGCCACGTCCTGGCTGCTTTGGAGTACCTGGCAGCAGAGCGGGAGGCAGAGATCCAGTCCCGGTGCAGTGGAGATGGTCTCAGAAAGGTGGCATTATCCAGGTGTGCAGTGTTCCTACAGTAAGAGCAGGCAGGTGGATGGATGAGCTGGGACGGCCAGGACCAAGCAAATAGGGTAGAGCTGAGAGCCCAATGCAATAGACAGGCTGATACTGGCTACCCCCAAGCACTGAAGCAAAGACACAGGCAATTCCCTCAGTGGCCCTGTTCCCACCCCAGACCCCAGGCACAGGACCAGTTCGACTCTTGCCAGGCCCTGCCATCCATGGTGCATCTCATCCAGGTAACCCCCAGGCCCTCTCCCAAAACCTACTGAGTCCCCTCATTCCCATGGGCCATGCCCACACAGACTCTACCCTCAGGAAGGCTGGCAGACCGTAGGTGCACTGGTTACCCAGCGGGGTGCCCTCCTGAAAGAGCATCAAGTCCTGACTGGCTGCCTCCAGGGCTTGGTGGAGGAGATGGAGAAATGTGTCCAGCATTCCAGCAAGAGGTGAGGAGCTCCCTCAGCGGAGGTTTCCAGGCCATCTCTCCCTGGAGCCTGGGGACACAGGATTTTCCTGCCCCTGTGACTCCCACGCTGCATTCTCTTCCTGGTGGTTTGTCTCCCTGTATTTGTTTTTGTTTGGGGTTTGAACTCAGGGCCTACACCTTGAACCACTCTACCAGCCCTTTGTTGTGATGGTTTTTTTTCAAGGTAGGGTCTTGTGAACGATTTGCCCAGGCTGGTTCCTCATGCACCCCTGCAGATCACCTCCCTCCCCAGTGACCTCAGCCCCCTTCCTCTTCTGCTTGTTCCCCAGGAAGGCGCTGATGCTGGGGCTTCGGCGCTGTGGTCTGCGGGCAGAGCTCAAGGCCCTGCGCGCCCAGAGCCAGGAGCTGGAGGATGCAGCTGGGCATCGGCAGCTACTGCTGAGGGAGCTACAGGCCAAGCAGCAGCGGATCCTGCGCTGGCGCAGGCTGGTGGTGAGAGACCAGCCATGGTCCTGCAAGAGAGCCAGAACAGAGGCTTGAAGCCTTGCCATCAAAAAGTGGGCCTTCTGGAGGGAGGGGACTCAGGCGAGACTCCTTTGCTGGGGGGGAATCAAAGGAGTGGGAAGAACAAGCAGCTGGTCTCAGTGGCCTCCTGGTTCCCCAGGAGGAGACCCAGGAACAGATTCGCCTGCTCATCAAGGGAAACTCAGCCAGCAAGACTCGCCTGGGCCGGGGCCCCACAGAGGTGAGACAGGTGTGGGGCGAGGGCTGGGGGCAGTTGGATGAACACAGACCACCCTGCCTGCCCGCCCTCTCTCCCGCCTTAGGTACTATCTCTGGTTCAGCGGAAAGTGGTCCCCACCTCTGAGGCCGTGGCACCACAGAGCCAGGAGCTTCTCCGCGGCCTGGAGGAGGCAACCCGGCAACTGCCACACATTCTGCTGGGCTCCTTACTGAGGCACAGCCCTGAAGGGTGAGACTAGGACCAGCCCCATCTCCATCTCCCCCACCATGGGCGACTGTCACTCCCTGAACCCACCCCAGAAAAGTAACCACGAGGTCTTCAGGCTGCCAGACCTTGCTCCCAGATCACAAGCCCCAGTCTCACATCTTGTCCCCAGGCTTACCTCCAAGATCCCAGACCCTCAGAGCTTCTAGAACCCAAGCCTTCCTTTCAGTGTTCCATCCAACCTGGTCTTCCCCTCCAGGTCGAAGCCACTGCCTACGATCCTACCTTCCATCTACCAGCTGCACCCCGCATCCCCAAGGGGCTCCAGTCTCATAGCGCTGAGCCACATGCTGGGCCTGCCCTCAGGGAAGGTGAGTGCTGTCCCCTTTGACTTACCTGCCCACCCCTATCACCACTTCCACCCCAGGTGACTGCCCTGCCCTCTCCCTCCAGGCACCAGAGCTGCTCCTCCTACAGGCTGCCTCTCTTCACCAGGACCTTCTGTTCCTCCAGGACCAGCAGAGTCTCCGCCGTGGGGATCTTCTCCACATTAAGACCAGTCTGCTGCCAGGACTGTCCACCCAGGGTAGGCCCGCTCTGCTTCTAGTTTCCTGAGGCCCTGCCCATTCCCAGCACTGTCAGCCTCCTGGAGTAATAACTCACATACACACACACACACACACACACACACACACACACACACACACTTACACAGGCTTACGTGTGCTTGAAACACATTCACTTATTTTATCTGCACAGCAGGCCCATGTGATAAGGGCTGCTGCTCTCCCTATTTTACAGAGAGAGAGCTGAGAGGCAAAGGGCTTAGTAGCTCACCCACATGGCAGAGCTGGGATTGGAACCCAGGCAGTTAGACGTGGATCAGTGCTCTCAACCATGAGGTTCCATGGCCCATCCATTTACCAAGTCCTCACTTTTCACCATCAGACTGTGTTCTTGAGTGCTTAAAGGCTGTGAAATTAAAATACCACTCCTCTTCCCAGCACTTTCTCTTCCTAGCTGTGTGATTTCCCTGTGCCTAGGTTTCCTTCCTAGTGGAGTAATCATAATACCACTATCTTACTGAGTTGCTCAGAAGATTTGGTCAGGTGAACAAAACAGGGCATGCACGATGTCTTGCATACAGGGAGCACTTTGTGTCTCTGCTGTAATTACAATAACTGTCTGCATACACATGCAGCCTCTCTGAGTGCTTATTATGAGAGAGAGGATTATTAAGATCTGCAGTTTACAGATGAGGAGACTGAAATTTGAAGAAGCCCAAAGAGCCTGATGGGAAGTGAAGAGACAGAGCTCTCCACCCCCCGTAATAGAAGCAAAGAACAAGAAATCAAAGGATAAGTAGATGAGAGAGATGAATTGAATGATGAGTTGAATGAATTTAGAAATGAATGGGGGGCTGGTGGAGTGGCTCAAGTGGTAGAGTGCCTGCATAGCAAGTATGAGGTTCTGAGTTCAAACACCAGGTACTCCCCCAAAAAAAGAAATAAACAAATTGGGGGTGCCATGAGCCAAGCTGGAAGAGACCATTTTCAGGCCTCTGAGTTTGGGGCTCCCTATCTTCCACCTCTCCATTTCACGAGACAAGGAACAGTGTACAGGAACAAGATACATCATAGCATCTCCCCTACCTCATGGGCATCTTGAACTCTACCATTTGTAGTGGAACACTTGGCTCCCTTACTCCAGAGAGTTCTGTTCCTCTTCTTCCTGGTTTCCTCCCCTCAGTAAATTTTCCAACTTTCCTCACCCAGGTGCTACAGCTGTAATTCCTCTCGGCTCCCTAGTCCCTGCTCCCACCCCCAAACACACAGCCTGTCAACATGTCCTGTCAGTCCCATCTAGAGTTCTCCAGTCTGCCCTACCCTTTGCTCCACTAGCCTGACTCAGAGAAGTCCACCTGTCAGCAGATGTATCTAAAGAAAGGACAAGAGTCATGATCAAGGTCACAGGGAAGGGGTAGGATGGAGTGGGGATTCATGCCTAAGAGAGCTGACCAGGCTGCTAATCTGTACTTGGTCTGAGCTCGCCCTTCTCTGGGCACATGGAGAGAGACTAAGCCCAGTCACAGTACTGGGGAGAAACTGGTGGAATGAGGGGCTGGAGCAGACAGAGGAGAAAGCCCTGGGATGAGGGGCACTGGGAAGGGCTTCCCAAAGGAAAAATGCTGTCTCACTCAAGCTGGGGTTAGGTCAGGTTTTCTCCAGGATAGGTGAGCAGAGGCCACATAACGTAAACTCTGTTACTAGGCTGAGGAACTTGGAGCCTGGATTCTGCTTTAGAGGCATTGGGGAGCCATAGAGGGTTCTAAGCAGGGGAGGGAGATGGTCAGGTTTAAACTTCAGGAAGACCACGCTGGCTGCCATGTGGAGGGTGGCCAGAGTGGAAGACTGAAGCCTGTAGTCTGACAGAGAGGCTGATAGGAAGAACGGGAGGCAGAAGGAAAAAATTCAGGCTGAGGGGTGGGACATCAGATCAGTGGGCTGATGGTAGGGAGTGGGGCATATAGGATGAGGCTGGGAGGATGGCATGTCCTTGAGATGAGGACCCAGGAGGGGGGACAGTTTTGGAAGAGATGCTAAGGTCAACACCAAGTGACTGGAGACTTGATGACCCATTGGCTGCAAGGTTCCAGAGAGCCAGAAGACTCAAAGCTGCCCCCTGATTTCTCACCTCCAGAGCTGCTGCAGATGCAGGCATCCCAGGAAAAAGACCAGAAGGAAAACCTGGGGCAGGCTCTGAAGAGGCTGGAGACCTTGCTGAAGCAGGCACTGGAGCGAACCCCTGAACTACAGGGAGTTGTGGGGGACTGGTGAGAGGGGATATGAGGGGTGCGGAAGGGAGCTGGGTGAAAAGTCAGGACTTAGGCTGTGGCAGTGGTGGAAGACTAGAGGGCTGGGCCTTCCCTCTGACACATGCCCTTCCCCAGGTGGGAGCAGCCAGGCCAAGCCGCCCTCTCTGAGGAGCTCTGCCAGGGCCTGTCCCTGTCCCAGTGGCAGCTGCGCTGGGTCCAGGCCCAGGGGGCTCTGCAGCAGCTGTGCAGATGAAGAAAGAGTTCAAAACAGTCAAGAATTTCACATTTGTGGATTGGAGGCATTGCTCAAGTGGTAGAGCGCCTATCTAGCAAGCAGGAGGCCCTGAGTTCAAACCCCAGTACGGCCAAAAAAAAAAAAGAAATCCCATTTGTTCACCCCAATACCTCACCTCCCCTAATAAAATATTTGAAAGAGCATCGCCAGGATTTGTCGGTCCATTGTCTATACCCACACAGCAGTTCCGCTCTGCTGTTCCTCTTAATTCTTTGCTCCCTGCCCTTTCATCCCACCAAAGCCAAGAGGATGGGGTACTCTGGGTCACACCCTGGTCACCCCTTAAAGTCCCTGCATCACTTTCACCCTTGGCAAGTGTATTTGAGCACCTCCTATAGACCCTGGAGATACAGCACTGAACAAAATGGACCAGAGCCCCTGCCTTCAGGGACTTGACGGCCTAATGCAGCGAGAAACAACTGGCAAGATAAATACATGGCATGGTGGAAGAAAATTGCTGTGCAGAAAATAATATACACCAGGCACTGGTGCTCATGCTGGCAATCCTACCTACCTGGGAGGCTGAGATGGGGAAGATCGTGGCTCAAAGCCAGCCTGGACAAGTAGTTCTAGAGACCGTATCTCCAAAAACAACCAGAGCAAAGTGGGCTGCAGGTGTGACTCACGTGGAGGCTGCTTTACAAGTGCGACGCCCTGACTTCAAACCCCAGTCCCACCAAAAGCAAAATAACCAGTGTGGGGAGGAGGCAGGATTGAGAGGTGGAGACTGTCGTCTAGTTTTACACGTCTTATTTGCACACTCAAAACTCGGCCATCTGGAATTCATCCTAGCAAACAGAACCAATACTATCTTATCCTACATATACCCTTATAGCACTTATTAAAAGAAGAAGGAGATGGAACCTGCTAAGGTGATGGGAGTATATTTCACACTAAGTGCAAGGGGGCTTGTCAGAATTCATCAAGTATTCTTAAGGCCTGTACATTTCACTTGCGTCAATTATTCTGCCACTTAGAAAGTAAAACTTGGCAGCTCACACCTGTAATGCTAACAATTCAGGAAGCAGAGATCAGGATAGTGGTTCAAATCCAGCCCGGGCAAATAGTTTGAGAGATCCTATATTGAAAAAAATCCCATCATGAGAAAAGGGCTCAAGTAGTAAGCCCTGAGTTCAAGCTCCAGTAATGCCAAAAAAAAAAAAAAGAGAGAAAACTTACCTACTGGTTTGATTTTTTTTTTCATTTTTTTTTTTTTTTTGCTTTTAGTGGTCCTGGTGTTTGAACTCAGGACTTAACATGTACAAGGCAGAAGCTCTACCACTTGAGCCACTCAACCAGCTACCCACTGGTTTGAGATACCAACTTTTTAATCACCAAATTTCCATGTTCAGTTGGTCTGTATCTGGGTTCTGTTGTGTACCTAATTCTCCATGTGCCACTGCCACAGTGTTTCAGTTACAAAAGCTTTCAATACACTCTAATATCTGAACCAGTGGTTGCCCTGCCCTCTGCTTTTCTTCTTCAGGGTTTCCATCTCTTGTTGGTATTTTTTTTCTCCCAAATGAAACTATACTTAACCTGCCTAGCTCCATAAGAAAAACAAACACAGATGGTGGCCCTATTGTACTTCAATAAATTTACAGTCTGCAGATTTGACATCCTTGTAATCTTGAACTCTGCTATCCACCTCTGTCCTCATGACCCCCAGTGCCTCTCTCCCAGCTTTCCTCCCGTCCCTGGCTACTGTTTCCCAGTCTTTACACATTTGATTTGATTTCCTACGTAATCCTTAATGTTCTCAATCTCACCGTGGGTTCTGCCCCACCCTCCTCGTCACAGTCCCACCTCCCACATCCCTATGAACTCTAAATGTGGGGTCCTTAGCCACAATCCCTGATTAATTTTTTCCCATAACACATCCTCTAAAGATACAATGTGCTTTACTTTATCTTTTGTCTCCCTCAAATAGAGTGTGAAGCCCTATAAAGGTAAATTATTTTATAAACAAGAAATTGGGCCTGGCAGCAGTGGCTCACACCTGTAATCCTGGCTACTCAGGAGGCAGAGATCAAAGCCAGATCAGGCAATAGTTTGGGAGACCCTATCTCAAAAAGCCCTTCACAAAAATAGGGCGGTGGAGTGGCTCAAGGTGTAGGCCCTGAGTTCAAACCCCAGTACTGCAAAAGAAAAAAAAGTTGGGGGCTGACAGAGTGGCTCAAGTGGTAAAGCACCTGCCTAGCAAGTGTGAAGCTCTGAATTCAAACCCCATGCCTCCATAAATATAAATATATACACAGATACATATATATTTTTAAGTGATGTTGAAACGTGGCATTTTCACTTGATGCCTCCAATATTAAACCTAAATCTAGTTAAGCCTCTAGCTGTCACCACGAGTATATGGGAAAGGGGAAGGGGCCGTGAGGAGCAAGTGAAAATTAGGTGTAATTGTGGAACGTTCTGTAGGAAAAAATGATTCAGTTTCTTCAACAAGAGAAAGCAAAGTAGGGAAGGGGAAAAAGGAGAGAAGGAAGGAAAAAGGCAGGAAGAGGTAAATGTATAGATTACCTGGGACAATTTGAACAATTAGATTAAGTAGTACAGGATTTTAACTCAAATTATAAAATCTCCACAAATCCATACTGACAAATGATTGAAGAAATAAATGACAACAAATTTCCCACACAGAAAGATTTCAAATAATTTATGTAGATATTCTATTCTCAAGGAGGTGGTATATAACGCCCCTCTCCTTAGGTGTGCATGTGGTGACTTTCTTCTAAAGAGCATGGCCAGATGCCTGTGGCTCGGGACTGTAATCCTAGCTACCTTCGAGGGTGAGATCAGGAGGATTGAGTTTTGAGGCCAGTCCAGGGAAACAGTTCAAGAGACCCTCATCTCCAAAATGACCAGGACAAAATGGACTGGAAGTGTGGCTTACACAGTAGAGTGCCTGCTTTTCAAGTGCAAAGCCCTGAGTTCAAAACCCAGTTTCACCAAAAAAAAAAAAAAAAACACCATGGAAAGTGGGTCAGGCATGGTGAGTCACAGCTGTAATCTCATCTACTCAAGAAGCTGAGGCAGGAGAATCAAAGGTGCAGTATGGGCTACACAGCAAGACCCTATCAAAACAAAACAAAGAACAGAAAGGTATTTTTTAAGGAACTACAGTGAAGATGACTGACAAACCCGACCTCAGCCAGGTAATCAAAATTACATCCACAGTGACACTGTAGTGACAGAGTGTTTTCTTGATATATGAGGAATGCACTTTACATCTGTGGCCTTTCCCTAAAAGACCATAACCCCAAATGATAAGAAAAATATCAGACAAACCCCAAATGAGGAACACTCTATAAAATACCTAACCAGTACTCCTCTAAACTGTCAGGATCATCAATAACAAGGAAATATGAGAAACTGAGGCAGCAAGAGGAGCCCAGGGACACAGGACAAGTACATTAATGTGGTACTCTGGGTGAGATGCCCCAATAGAATGAAAATTAGGAAGATAGTAGGAAAGCTGAGTAACGTGTGGAGTTTAGTTAATTCAAATGTAAAAAGTAAAAAGCTTCCTTTCTCTGGTCACATCTCTAGCACAGAAGCAAACAAAAAAAAGTATTTTCTTTTTCACAGCCCTGGGGTTTGAACTCAGGGCCTCCCTCTTGATAGGCACCACCACTTAATCAACAGCCCCCACCCCAGTCCTTTTCTGCTGGCAAGGCCAATCTTTTGCCTGGGGGCTGTCTGGACTTTGATTCTTCTACCTACACCTCCCCGTATCTGGGATTACAGGAGTGACCACCATACCCAGCTAAAAACCAGTCTTTTAACAGAACATTTATTTGGCTTATTCAGCCACTGTAACCAATAAAATTAAATTTTGAAAAGAAAAAAAGACCACACAAATGCAAAGTATGGACCTTATTTGGATCCTGATTTTACAATGCTTTTGTATAAAGATATTTTTCGGGCAGAGAATACTAAGAAATTAATTTGATAGTATTAATAGCATAATTAATGAAATTTTAAAGAAATATTTCTTATCTATTAGAGATAATACTGATGCATTCATGAGTGAGTCGACAGATGCCTGTAGTTTGCTTTTAACATACTCCAGCAAAAATGAATAAATAAGAGAATAGATTAAGCCTGAAGTGTAGAACATTGGCAGAACTAGATGGGAGGCTCGCTGTACTATTCCCTCTAACATGTACGTTTGAAAGTACTTATATTAAAACGCTTTGAAGACTACAGGGGGGAAAAGGGGGGTGTCAGCAGTGTCCCAAAAGAGGACGCAGCGCCCAATCCCACAGGCGCGCTGCTCCTTCTATCGAACGCCTCTCCCTGTTTTTTTTTCTAGCAAGTGTCATCAGATGCCACCTCCTCCAGGAAGCCTGAGTCGGGTCCCTCCTTTGAGCTTCCTCCAGGATGTCGCTGGTCCTCCCCGGGACCACCAGCAGCGCCTGTACCCCGCCCCGCCAGGTCGGCCGTAGACGCTCACTGCAGCTTCTTTATAAACTTCTGGAACGGAACTCGCGGGGATGGGGAGGAGCCTCTGAACTTTCCAGCGTTCTCTAAGGTCCAGGTTCTACCTCGGGGGCGGGACCAACTGACTTTGCTTGGATCTCATTAGCCAACTCTACCTCCAAGAAGGCGGGGCCGCCTGAGCTCGGATTGAACCAGGGTCTTCCGTCAGTTCGTCTTTCCGGCACTCTGATTGGCTTACATTTCTCCAGGGGGGTGTGGCCAGGCCTCATTGGCTTTTGCTCTTGGACGTAGGGCGTCACGCACCGCGTCCGTCTGTCTTCCTGCTACGTCATTCACGGGCGCCCACCCTGACGAAGGCAGAGAGTAGACAGGCGAACTGGCGGTGGCGGCAGCTGAACCGAGACAGTAGTAGCGGCGACAGCCACAGCAGCAGCAATGGCCGGGGCGGGGCCAGCTCCGGGACTCCCGGTTGCAGGAGGATCCGTGGTCCCGGGCCCTGGTGCCGGCATCCCGGGCAAGAGCGGCGAGGAACGCTTGAAGGAAATGGAGGCGGAGATGGCCCTGTAAGGCCCGTGAGAGGGAGTGTTAAAAACCGTCCTAGAGTAGAGCTACTGAACCCTGGAGACTCCGGGTTGCGATCGACCCGAGATACGGCTGTCAGGGGGAAGCGGGACCCACAGGATGAGGGCACGGGGCGGGAGGTACCAGGGGTAAGGAGAGACGCTGCAGGGATGAAGGCGCTGTGGCGATGTCCCCAGCATCCCAGAATTGATGCGAGGACCTGACCTGTGGTATCTGTCCTGCTCCCTTAGGTTTGAGCAGGAAGTTCTGGGGGCTCCAGTAACCGGAATCCCAACTGCTGTACCTGCGGTGCCCACCGTTCCCACGGTTCCCACGGTAGAAGCGATGCAAGTCCCAGCAGCTCCTGTGATCCGCCCAATTATCGCGACCAACACATACCAGCAGGTAAGGCCGAACTGAGGAACAACAGTCAGAGAACACGCCGCTTTGACCACAACAGGTGTTTGTCGTTTCCGATTATTGGTTGACTAGCTTGACAAATATGTCATGTGCCAGGCACTGAGAGTCCAATAAGCACTTGGACAGAGATTTCTTCCCTTTAGGAGTTTATATTCTGAGCATATTGTCCAGTGGAACTTTCTGCAATGACAGGCACGCCCTACCTATTTAAAATTGGCACTTAAGTAGTCCCTCAGTCTAGTTGGTAAAATTTCAAGTGCTTGATAGCCAGCTACATATAACTCAGTAAGAAAGAGGAAGGAAGGAACTATTTAAATAAACATAAGTAAATGAAACTCATTCATTCTGTCGACAATATCGGGTGCCTTCTACAATAGTGTAGTAAGCATTAGCAGAGAACAAAACAGAAAGCCTATCACTGTCATTTTGGAGTTTATACATTACTAGGGAGAGATGGGTAAGGTGTGGTAAGAAGGGTGGAGTTTTATCAGCACAGTCAAGAAAGGTCTTTCTAAGAAGGAAATACTTAAACAAAGATAGAAAGGAGATGATGGAGGGAACTATGCAGACATATAGGATAAAATCATTCCCAACAGAAAACTGGCAGTGCAAAGGCCCTGAGGCAGGTACCTAACTGTCACCATTCAAGGAACTGCAAGGAGATCAGTGGCCAGAGTGGAAGCAGAGAGGAAAGTGGAGGAGATAAACAGGTGAAAGAGGGTCAGATCTTACCGGGCTCTGTGAGCCACCATAAGGATCTTGACTTTTACTCTGAGATGGGAAGCTGTTGGAGGATTTTAAGCAGAAGGATTAGAGGTTAACAGGGTGGCTCAAGGAGACTGAAGAAGAGGTTGGTATAGTAATCTAGGCAAGAGGTGATGTGGCTTGAGCCAGGTGGTACATGGGAGATGGAGAGGACAGATTGCACATAACCAGATAGTGCTGTGGGGAAGATGAAACAGGGTGGGTGAGAGAAACTCCACTGGGAGAGGCTAAGGACAGCTTTAGCTACTGTGGTCCCAAAACCTCTCTCACAAGTGACATATTAACTGAGACCTGACAGAGAGCCAGCCCAAACAGAGCACAAAGTTTGAAAGTCTGTCTGAGTCAGGCCCGTCATCCCATCCTTCTCCCCAACAGGTCCAACAGACTCTGGAGGCCCGGGCAGCTGCTGCAGCCACTGTAGTTCCTCCCATGGTGGGTGGCCCTCCTTTTGTGGGCCCAGGTAAGTAGAGTGGCAAGGTGAGGAGGTCAGGATCAGAGAGGGTAGTAAAAGTGATGCCCAGGACTTGCCTCCCACCGTCTTTGTCCTTCCTCTTCCAACAGTTGGCTTTGGCCCAGCTGATCGGAGTCACCTGGACAGTCCAGAGGCTCGAGAAGCCATGTTCCTGAGGCGAGCAGGTAGGTCGGGTACCGGGACCCCATCTTTAGCCAAGCATATTTGCTTAGGGAACTTCTGCGTCCTGCCCGCATCCGTGCTTTAAATCACCCTCTCCATCCATCACCCTCTGATGTTACCATCTTTCCAAAGTACAAACCTGATCCTATATGTCCCTATTATCTCAAGTCAATCTGGTCTTAACCAGGCCATTGCAAACCTGTCAGTCCTCATCCCAAACCTTTACTAAGTGCTAACCAGTACTTCACACTATAAAACAAGCCATATAACTCTTTTGCTTCCTCTAAAATAAAAGCTTTGTGAAGGGCAGAACTCCTGATTTCTGCAACATAGTAAGCATGACATACTACTAATGAGATGAATAAGCCATCAGGATAAGTGCCAGGATCCTCACCTAGTGGTCCAGATCCATGTGACCTGGTTCCTTACAGAGGGAGATCTTTACAGCCCCCCAGGATCCCCAGATGTTGAGATGTGCAAGCAACGCATTTACTGAGGAGCCCTCTCTCTGCTGCTCCTTCTCACTCAGCCATAACCTTCCAATCTTTCCTGTCCACAGGCCATTCTCTGTCTTTTGTTGTTTCAAGTAACTTACACATACTATTAGTTTTTGCGACATTACTTCTGTATATGTATGAAAAGGATGTGTGTTCTCAACTGGATGTAAAAACCTGAGGCTGGGGGCATGGCTCAACTGGTAGCACCTGCCTAGTAAGTGTAAGACCCTGAGCTCAAACCCCAGTACCTCCATCAAAAAAATAATTAATTCTTGCATAATTGTTAATTATGTTATCTAAATCCTGTTACACTTTTTAATCCAGACATCTAAGAAGTGATAGCATTTCTTCTCTTTAGTATAGTTTTGATCAAAACACAAATTCCACCTGGTCACCCTGCTCAGCTCCCATCCCTGCAGTGTTTTCCCAGCACTTTCCAAAGGACATCCATAGCCCAGGCGAGAAAACTGTGCTTAGATGCCTGCCAACTTGTCAGCCCTTCTGATGCTCTCCAGCCCTCTATTCCTCTGTGACAGTCCACTAGACTGAACACCTGTAAGGTGTTCTCCCTGCCAGCAACATCGCCACTCACGCTCCATCTGCCTGACTAACTTCATTATCCTTCGGGTCTCAGCTCTTTGGGTTCCTTTCTCAGGAATCCTCTCACAGGGCTCCTGTGGGCTCTTAAGCTCCCTGGCTTTCCCTTCCTAGCCTGGATCTCTCCACTTGGGCTTCCCTCATTCTAAGCCCAGTCACTCTGGTGATGTGTCTGCTTGCTCCTATTCAGGACCAGGTGCTCCCCAAGAACCTCAGTCTATTGGTGGGTCCCTAACATTGTCCACCATCAGGCTGGGCCCACAGAGATCCTCATGGTAAACTTTTGCACACAAAAGACTCCCACATCTCCCAGAAGAGTCCCCAGACTCTTCTACAGGATTTTCTTGGATGCTGAGTGCCCCCACACACCTTGCCCCCAGTCTCCCTGTCCGCCATGACACACACCCCCATCTCTCTCTCCCACAGCTGTGGCCCCTCAGAGGGCCCCTATCCTGCGTCCGGCCTTCGTCCCCCACGTGCTACAGAGAGCAGGTGAGGGGCCAGGGCCATCATCCCTGCCACGCACCTCCCTCCCCAAGCCCTGCAACTCCTCTGCTAACACCCTGACAGATTCTGCTCTCTCTTCTGTAGCAGGTGGTCCCCGCCCGATGGCCCTGCGGCCCCCTCACCAGGCCCTCGTAGGACCCCCTCTGCCTGGGCCCCCTGGACCACCCATGATGCTACCACCAATGGCTCGGGCCCCAGGCCCCCCCCTGAGCTCCATGACTGCTCTAAGGCCTCCCCTGGTGAGTGTGGACAGGCAACTAACATCAAAGGGGATGTTATGGGAGGGAAGACCCTTAGTCCTGGCCCTACAGGCTGTGTCTAAGTCTGCTTTTCCTTGGCTGCTTTCTCTATATCCTTTCTGCCTTTGTCTTTCTCTGTTTCTTTCTATAGCCAAATCTTTTGTCTTTCTTCCTTTTCTTCTTTCCTTCCTTCCCTCTTTCCCTCCCTCCCTTTCTTCCCCTTCCTTCCTTTCTTTCCTTTTTTTCCTTCTTGGACAGGGTCTCCCTATGTAGCATGGGCTAGCCTGGAACTCATTATCCTACTTTAGCCTCCTGAGTGCTGGGATTACAGGTGTGCACCACCACATCAGCTTTTGTTCTTTTTAAGAAAAGTATAGACAGAAACACATGCTGTGGGTGTATTTCTCTCTGTCCATTTTCCTTTGATTATCCCTCTCCTTCAGTGTCTGTACCTGTGTCTGTCTGTTTGTCCCTCTCTGCCTGTGTCTCTGTTTCTGGCTAGCTGTGCTTCTTAGCTGCTCTCTGGCTCCCAGGTCCTTGCTTTGGTGTATCAGATGGAGATGGAGGTAAGGTCTGAGCCTGTGATATGGCCCCCCTCATGTCCTTCTTTTGCCCACAGGAAGAGCCAGCGGCACCCCGAGAACTGGGCCTAGGCCTGGGGTTGGGCCTGAAAGAAAAGGAGGAAGCAGTGGTGGCAGCAGCGGCTGGGCTGGAGGAGGCTAGTGCAGCTGTGGCTGTGGGGACAGGAGGTGCCCCAGCTGGCCCTGCAGTCATTGGGCCTAGCCTACCACTGGCCCTGGCCATGCCATTGCCTGAGCCTGAGCCCCTGCCTCTCCCGCTGGAGGTAGTGCGCGGCCTGCTGCCCCCGCTGCGCATTCCTGAGCTCCTATCCTTACGTCCACGACCCCGGCCCCCTCGGCCTGAGCCACCCCCTGGTCTCATGGCTCTTGAGGTAAGCAGGGAACACTGGCTTGGGGGCAGGCGGGAGCCCATGAGCATACACACCCGGTTCTCTGTCCAGGGAGTGGGAGGGTGCGTACACCCTGGAAGCACACCCAGTCCTTTACCTTGATGCAGCAAGGCCGAGGGGAAGGAAGAGCAGGAGACTCGAACACCACGCCCCGTACACCCGTTCCCTCTTCTCCACAGGTCCCAGAGCCTCTGGGTGAAGACAAGAAGAAGGGAAAGCCAGAGAAATTGAAACGCTGCATCCGCACGGCAGCTGGGAGCAGCTGGGAAGACCCTAGCCTGCTGGAGTGGGATGCAGGTAAGTGGCTGAAGTGTGAGGTCCGGCACTGCTCATCCATGAGCAAGCCACACTGCCTCACAGGGGCATCAGACCGGGAAGGGGAGCCCGTAGCCACTCCATAGCTCTGTACGGCACCTGCGACTAATCACCTCAGGGAGGAGACTGCAGCCCTGTGGGGCAGGGCCATTCCCCAGCCACAGGTTAGAACTTGGTGGAGGTGAGTGGGACCTTGGACTCTCTGACCACTGCTTTACTCGTGAGGTCAACACTCCTTTATCCTCCGACTTTTTCTTTTTCTTTTTTTGGTGGTTCTGTGATTGAACTCAGGGCCTCAAACGTGCTAGGCAAGTACTGTACCACTTGGGCCATGCTCCAGCCCTTTTTTCTTTAGGGTTTTTTTTTTTCAGATAGGATTGTGCACTTTTGCCCAGACCTGCCTCAGATGACTCTCATCCTCCCTTCACCTGCTGTGTTAGCTGTGATTATAGACATGAGCCACACACCCAACTTGAGATAGGGTCTCACTAACTTTTTGCCTGTGCTGGTCTCAAACCATGATCCTCCTATGCACCTCTCAAATAGTTGGGAATACAGGTGTACACCACTGCACCTGTTCCTCCCCCAACATTTTATGAAAAAAAATTTAAGCCCAGACTGACACAGTAAACAGCCTATCCACTAAGCTTCCAGTTAATATTTCGCTATGTTCACCTTTTTCCTCTGTGTATGTATAAGTTTTGTTGTTTTTGCAGGACTGGGGATGGAACCCAGGGCCTTGTACATATTAGGGAAGCACTCTATCACTCAGCTTATCATATTTGATGCAAGTGATAAATACCTCAGTGTTCATCTCCTAAGAAAGATGTTTTCTTTCATATCTTAATATGATTATCACTGCTAAGAAAGTTGACAATAATTCTGTGGCATCTCATATTCAATTTATATTCATATATCTCCAGTTGCTCCCAAACTCCCTTATGGCTATTTTTTTCCCCAAACAAGGATGTATGTAGTTTAGCTGGGTACCAGTGGCTCACACCTGTAATCCTAGCTACTTGGGAGGCTGAGATTGGGACGGTGGAGGTTCAAGGCCAGCAAATGGTTTGTGAGATCCCATCTCCAAAATAACCAAAGCAAAATGAACTGGAGATAAGGCTCAAGGGGTAGAGCACCTGCTTTGCAAGCGTGAAGCCCTTAGTTCAAACCCTAGTCCCACGCAAAGAAAAAAAGATGCATGTAGTTTTATATACTACATTTTATTTTTTATTTTCTACTTTTTTGTGATAGTGGGATTGAACCTTGTGCATGCTAGGCAAATGCTCTACCACTTTAGCTACCCCCAGGCCCCCCCACTTTTTTTTTTTTGTTTTGAGACAGGGTGGTCTCAGCCACCCAAGTGCTAGGGTTGCAGGTTTTCACCACCTTACCCAGTATCTACTTTTTTCTTTGTTATGGTTTAACTGGGCTAAGGGGACTGAAAAGGCAGCTCAGTTGAAGAATGCTGGCCTAGCATGCAGTTCAATCCCAAGCACTGCAAAACAAATAAATAAAAAATGATAATAATAAGCTGGCTAAGAGAGCACAGTTAGATCCCCACTTGACCAAGTCCTAAACCGGGTAGAAATTAAAGCTTATTCATGCAGGACCTGGTAGGCACGGAGGGTATAGCAGGGAGTGGGGAAGGTCCTAGATTCAGTTTGAGGCCAGCCCAGGCAAATAGTTTGTGAGATCCCCATCTCCAAAATAACCAGAGCAAAACTGTGGCTCAATTGGTAGAGTGCCCACTTTGCAAGTACAAAGTGCTGAGTTCAAACCCCAGTCCCACCAAAAAAAAAAAGGGACAAATAGAAGACTTTGGACCCAGATGCCTTAGCTTTTGTCCCAGCTCTGCCTCCTGGTGTGTAAGTGCCTCAGTGGGAAAGGGCTGTTGGGAGCACTAGGTGTGTAACACCCCCTTCCCCCCGTATCACCAGGTGCTTAGCAGGGAGGGAAGGAGGAGGGCGGGAAACTTCTAGAGAAAGTGGGACATTCAGATAGGGCCAACACTGAACTGGCAGCATCGGCATCCTCTGACTTCTCTCCCAACCCCAGACGACTTCCGGATCTTCTGCGGAGATCTGGGGAATGAGGTGAACGATGACATCCTGGCTCGCGCCTTCAGCCGCTTCCCATCCTTCCTCAAGGCCAAGGTGATCCGTGACAAGCGCACGGGCAAGACCAAGGGCTATGGCTTTGTCAGCTTCAAGGACCCCAGTGACTATGTGCGCGCCATGCGTGAGATGAATGGTGGGTGAGGCCTCCCTGGGGACAGTGGGTATGGCAGACATCTGGTCTAAGCACGACCCCAAGCCTGACCTGGACCCTCCCTTCCCACAGGAAAGTATGTGGGCTCGCGCCTATCAAGCTTCGCAAGAGCATGTGGAAGGACCGAAACCTGGACGTGGTCCGCAAGAAACAGAAGGAAAAGAAGAAATTGGGCCTGAGATAGGGTCTGTGGCTGGGTGCTAGCTCCTCCCCACACTTGGCTTTGGAAAACCCCAACTGTCCACCCATCCACCCCAAAACCACTTTCAATAAATTTAAGTCATTTCCATCCCTGGCTGGCTTGGAAGTGTTCTGGGGTCAGGGCTTGCCCCCTGCCCCACTTCTGAGAAGACGGGGGGCCTTGAAAGTTGGCCCAAGCAGACATCGAGACATCCATTACCTCTTACAACCTCTTAAGTGCCAGTTGAGTGAGCCCATTCTGGAGGGGGCTTTTGGCAAGGTCAGGGCCAAGCCAAGGCTCAGATTGGGTCCTGACTCCAGCCTGTGTTCTCAGCACTGGGGAACAGGGTTGTCTTCCTGCTGCTGTTCAGAGCATACAGTGTTGCAGGTTTCCATCTATCCCACAAACTTCACTGCGGGTCTGGACAATGTGGAGGTTCAGTGGTGCCTGGAGTAGTCCTGGGTCAATTTTCCTCAGCTCATGATCCCGTCAGAGGACAGACCCTGGGCCAGACAGCCCAGAGTGGTCAGGATGTGGGTTGGGAAGCCTGGTGCTGACTTGTGGGTCAGGAGAGCTTTCCTTTGGGAAGCCCTCTCAACTGTGAGACCACTTCCTGTTGTTCTCACCCTCTGGCTCTCTCAGACTCCTTCCCCACTCTACCAAGCCCCGGCCCACGTCTCGTGTGAGTCTCTTGAGTGTCTGCGTGCCCCTTTCTGGACTCCCAGAGTCTGTCTGTCTCAGTCTCTGCGCTCTCTGCAACTGTGGGGCAAGCTCCAAGCTTGTCTCTGCCTGTCTGGAAAGTGTCCATGCAGGACCTGGCATGCCAGGCCTAGAGCTTAGGCTATACCCTGAAGGCAACAGCAAGCCAGAGATGCTAAGGCAGCCCAGGAGCAAGCAGGGGGCTGGCAATACAGATGTGCACTTTAGAAAAAGCTCTGAGTCAAATGTAGTCGTGCATGTCTGTAATCCCTGCACTCCAGAAGAGGCAGGAGGGCTGTGAATTTGAGGCCAGCCTGGGCTAGGTAGCAAGACCCTGTCTCAAAGAGCCAGGAGCCTGTGGCTCACATTTTAGCTATTTGGGAAGGACATTGGGTGGATTATGGTTTGAGGACAGCCCAGGACAAATAGTTCTCAAAACTCCATCTCCAAAAAATAATCAAAGCAAAACGGGCTGGAGGTGTGGCTCAAGAGGTAGAGTGCCTGCTTTGTAAGCACAAAGCCCTGAGTTCAAATCCCAGTCCACCAAAAAATGGGGGTGGGGGTTGGTACAGTGGCTCCCTGAGTTAAAACCCAAATACTATCAAAAAAGGCCCTGAGACCAACACTGGGGCAGGTCCAGGCCAAAGGAGGAAGATGCAGGATTGGAGGGTGTGGTGGGGGGCTGGTCATCAGAACCTGGATTAGGGAGCAAATTTGTGGATGGGAGGTCAATACAGAGATCTCTCGGAAGGTTACTCAAAAGAGGTGTCAAATTTCCCCTGTTCCTGTCTTCCCCCTTTACAGCCCCTCTCTGACGTCACATTTTCCACTCTGGTCTCAGGGGTGAGGGTCTTCCTCCCTAGGAGGAAATGCCCTTCAGCTCCCTGCCACCTGGGCTCTGCTACAGCCCCAGGACCCTCAGTGCCCTTCCCCCACCACTAGCCATTCCTACCCCAGCCCTCATGTGCTCACTGCAACCATAAAAGTAAGGGAGAAGATGAGAAGATGATTCCAGAAATGAGTGTTCTCCAAGTGTGCACAGTAGTCTTCCTGAGGGCAGGGAGAGACAGATGCACAGAGAGGGAGGAGGAGCGGCAGAGAAGGAGAAGGAGGGAGGGAGAAGAAGGCTCAGGCAGAGTGGCAGCAGATCAGAACAGTAAGAAGGAAGGTGGGGAGAAGACCTAGAAAGAGTTGGAGGAACAGGAATACTAAGAAAAGGGAAGGACTGAGACTTGTCAGGAGAGATGATGACAAGGCTCACCAGAATCAGGCCTGGTGCAACAGGGACCCAGAGCTGGGGACACCAACCCAGGGGAGGCCAGCATTGGATGACAGACAGGAAAAGGCCTGGGATCTGGTGGGGCAGGGTGGCCAGGGTCCTGGTGGGTGAATGGAGTCTAGATGTCCCAGAGTTCAGTAACTGGATGAACACTGGGTCCGATTCCAGCCCCAAGTGGCTCTCCTCCTTGCAGTCTAGTATCCCTTCTGTACAACCGACAGAACAGTAATGCCCTCACCCTCCAAAATAGTAACCAGTTAACCATGAAGAATCTGGGTGAATACTGGGAACTGCCTATATTAAAGATTTTTTTTCTTTTCTTTTTTTTTTTTTTTTTTTTGTTTTGGCAGTACTGGGGTTTTAAAGATTATTTTTAATAGTAAAATTTGCTTATTCATCTAGAAAAATGAGCACAAAAATAGGGTCTAAAGCCAGGTTACCTCAGATTTGCTAGGGGATGTATTTTGCATTTTGTTGAAACATTACAAACATAACAATTCATTCCCTTTGTTTTTTTTTTCCCGGAACTGGGGTTTGAACTCAGGGCTTCACACTTGCTAGGGAGGCGCTCTACTACTTAAGCCACGCCCCAGACCAATTCATTCCTAAATCTGTTTCATTTCTAGTAGAGACATCTTTCATATCATGCCATTTATCACACCAAAGAAAATTACTAGTTCTTCCGATGGAGGGGCTCAAGTAGTAGAGCACCTGCCTAGCAAGTGCAAGACCCTGAGTTCAAACCCCTGTACCATCAAAAATAAATTAATTATTGGATATGATACCTCATTTTCAATTGATACTCAAAATTTCCCAACTGTCTCAAACTATTACAGCACTGAAAGACATGGGCTCTGGACAGAAAGAGAAGAGGGGGGATGTGTGCCTCAATTTCCCCCATCCTAAAATAGAGATAAAAATAATCTGAACTTCACAGGATTAAGTGAAGGCCCGCTCCACGTGGCTGGCTGACCTGCAGGAACCTTCATATATGTTAGCTGCTATTATCGTCCATGTTGATGTTGTTATTTTATTATTGACACTCGTGGCAAGCCGACTTCCCTCCACCCACTCCATCCCGCGGTCTCCCTGCAGATTGTGACGTAGCTGGGGACGGGGTATCTGGCCGGAAATCCCTCTTCCTGTTGCAGATAAGCTCAGCGCAGCCCAGCTGACCCCAGACCCTCCTCCCCCACCACCTCCCATGTCGCAGGATCAAATCCCCAAGATGGAGAACCGGTCCACCAAGCTCCCTGCCACCCCCCCACTCGGTAAATGCCCCTCAACCCCCATGGACCCCCACACACGCCTTGTTCTGTCCGCTGTTCCCCAACCCCAGGCCACCCCTGCAACAGGACAGCTTGGAGGAGAGCGCGGCTCGGCCCTGCCCCCGTCCCTGCAACTTGACCCAGGCTGCGACCCCCTGCTCTGACGTCTCGGAAAATTCCCCCCTCCTCAGGCCCCTAGGGAGGGGGTGCATGGTATGAAATGGGGCTGAGACCCCCGGCTAGGGGCAGAGGAACCCGCCAGAGGTAAGCCATGAACTGGGGACCGGATGGATGCTTGAGTGTCTGAGTTAAGAAGGACCTGAAAGTCCAGACTCCGAAGACGCTGGGGGCCTGGACTCCTGGGTCAGAGAGCTAAGGTCTCTCACTCCTGAACTAAGAAAAAGGAGGATGGCGGCCAAGATTCCAGGTTTCTGGGGAAAAGAGTAAAAGCCTGGGACTCGGGTCTAAGGGAAACAAGAGCTGAGACCCAGACTCATCAGTCCCTAAGTGTCATCAACTCACTCATTCATTGTCCTTCGATTTTTTTCTACCCAGACCATTCAGAAGGAGCATCCATGGACTTGTGGAGCTGGGACGAAGCATCGCCACAGGAAGTGCCTCCAGGGAGCAACCTGTCAAAGCTGGGTAGGCTGCCGGGACGATGCGTGTAGGAATGAGCGGAGGGCTCTCTGCGACTACCAACTCGGCCTTAACGTCCTTATTACCTTGCAGGAGCCGAATTTGGCTTTCATTTCCCTGAGCTGGAGCTGCAAAGGGACACACCGACAGCTGAGACATCCTGGAAAGGTGACTGCCGGGCTGGACCTCCTGGGCGCTGGGGGACAGTGGCGAGGCTGGGCTCCCGGGTCTAAGGCGGGGGGGGGGGGGGGGGAGCGTGCCTGGACTTCTGAGGCTAAGGGGAGAGGGACCACGTGTTTGAGCTTCCGAGGTTAAGGAGGCCCGGGGTCCACCCTGGATAGATGGTTGAGGTCTCTTAAGTCATAGCTCGCACTCTCCCAAACTCAGCAGGATTCCCAGAGCTGGACAGGAGCCCCGCCCTAGCGCACCCAGAAGCTCCTTGGGGGGCTGGTGAGTGTGTGCGGAAAGGCACTGGAGGCGGGGACAGGGGTTCTGGGGCTCCGGGGCTGGAGTTTAGAGCCCCGATCTTTGGAAGGAGCGGGGATAGTACTGGGGACACCCGCGTCCTCAAAGGCCATGGGCTAAGACCCCTCGACCTCGGGAGGGCGCCGGGGACCAGGAAACCTGGGCTCTCCTCACTCGGGGCTCGCCCTCCTCACAGAGCCCGCCACTCAAGCCCGTCGGTGGTCCGGAGACTGGGCGGACCTGGCCTGTGCCGCCTGGGACCCGTGGAGCCGCGCCTCCCCGGCCTTGGGCCCCGCTCTTGGCCCCGCCCTTGGCCCCGCCCCCTTCCCTGGTTCCGAAGGCGTGGCCGGCCAGAACCGTATCCCTTCGGCGGGAGAGACGGCCTCGTGGTCGCAAGCTCAGGCACCCAGGAGCGCCACCAGCTGGGACTGTTCTGTCGGCCTCAACGGCGCCACCTACTGGGGCAATGGCCTCGGCGGGGAACAGCGCGCGGACTATACCATTTCCTGGGGCGGGCCTGAACTTTCGGACTGTACCACCTCATGGAGTCCGGGGCTGCATGCGGATTGCAGCGTCTCTTCAACCGGGTACCAGAATTCAGCTCTTACCACTCCCTCCGAACCTAGCCAGCAGTCGGACCGTGCCATCTTGATTCGCTACCCCAAAGCTAACCACAGAGGTGAGGTCCGCGAAGACCGTCCAGGGAGCAAACCAAGAAGTAATGAGGCGGGGCCTAGGTACCGAAGGGGGCGGGCCTATGTGCTAAGAGGCGGGGCCTATGTTCTTAACCAAGAACATAGGTTCCCGTATAACCAAGGAGTTGGGATCCAGGAAACTGACAGAGAGAGACGGAGCTTAGGTACTTGAAGCTGGACAGGGGAGAGGCGAGGGGAGTAAGACACTAATGGTCTTCTAGGGACCAAGGGGACGAGGATCCAGGCTCCTGAATTATGTGGGAGGAAAGAAAGGAGAATTTGGATGCCTGGGTCTCTGAGGTGGGGAGGCCAAACTCCTAAATCTAGCAGGGGCCCTAGACGCCTGAGTATCCGAGGAATCTCTTATATGGAGAGATCCGAGCTCATGGATCCTCGAGGGGGGGAGAGATCACCGCCTCCTAGGTCATTGAAGCGACGTGATCTGGGGCTGGGAATCCTGAGTGTTACCTGCCTCCACCCTGCAGGTCCCATTCAGCTGTGGCAGTTCCTCCTGGAGCTGCTCCAAGACAAGGCGCGTAGCAGCTGCATCCGCTGGACAGGCAACAGCCGCGAGTTCCAGCTGTGCAACCCCAAAGAGGTGGGACAGCTCCTCTGCCCCTCCAGGCTTTCTTCCCTCTCCCCCAACCCCCCAACCCCTCGGCTCCGGTTCAACCTAGTCCATTCGCGGTGCCTGGTCCTTGGCTCCGCCCCCAGCCCCGCCCGCTCCCGGGCTGGCTCTAGCGGAGTACCCACGTGCGGGCACCCCGGGCCCCGCCCATCAAGACTAAGCCCCGCCCCTTCCCACTAAGCCCTGCCTCCACCCCAGGTGGCGCGGCTGTGGGGTGAGCGCAAGAGGAAGCCCGGCATGAATTACGAGAAGCTGAGCCGAGGTCTGCGCTACTATTACCGCCGCGACATCGTGCGCAAAAGCGGTGGGCGCAAGTACACATACCGCTTCGGGGGCCGAGTGCCCGGCCTCGCCTGTCCCGACGTTGCGGGGGACCCGCAGGGAGCAAACACCCAATAAAACATGTCCTGTCGAAACTCGTCGCGCGTGCTTAACTGCATCCTTCCCACTTCCACTGGCGGACCCGCCAGGGAATCAAGTGTGCACCCCCAAATTTAGCAGTTCGGCCTCCCCATCAGCGAGACTCAGGCAAAGAAACTCCTACCACTTTTCCTTTCACGAGCCTAGGGACTCACGTCCTTGGTCCCTAGAAGAGTACCAGTCACTCGTTCACCCCACTCAGAGGACCAAGGAGTGTGGACCACCCGCCCCTCCCATCGCCAGCTCTCGCTGCCACTTTGCCGGGTCCCTCCGGCTTAGGTGCCTAGGCCCCGCCTCCCTGCTCCACCTTCTTCGCTTGCTCTTCAGCCTTCTTGTAGTGATTAGTTTGGGGTACGGAATCGCCCACTTTCCTGTACTGTATCACCCCGAGGCACAACTGTGTTCATAGAGACTCAGACCCTTAGGGAGTCTGCTGTGTGCCCACCACGAGATGGAGCATGAAAAGGAATCAAACCCCTTGACTGTAATGCCAACTGCATGCCTGCTCTGTGTAGGAACTCTTTTTTTCTTGTCTTTTCTGTCTCTTCTTTTTTTGGGGGGAGGGAGGGACTGGGGTTTGAACACGGGGCTTCACACTTGCAAAGCAGGCGCTCTACCACTTGAACCACACTTCCAGTTCATTTTGCTCTGGTTATTTTGAAGATGGGGTCTCAAGAACTATTTGCCCTGCCTGGCTTCCAACTGTTGTCCTCCTGATCTCTGTCTCCTGAGTAGCTAGGATTACAGGCGTCAGCCACCAGCGCCCAGCTTTTCCTTGGCTATTTGAGACAGGGTCTCGCTATGTGCAGGCTAGCCTCGCATTCACAATCTTTCTGTCTCTACTTTTCTGGGCCACCACACCCTCCCCTGTGTAGAGGTTTCTCTAACACCCTACAGTTTTCTAAAAACTGCTATGGGTTGCATATAGTTTGTCCCCTCCAAACCTATGCAAGTGTTTAATCTTGTGTTGATTGTATTACAAGCATGGAGGGTTGGGGGTATGACTCAAGTGGTAGAGCACTTGCATGTGTGAGACCCTCGGTTCAATTCCAGTACCCAGCGTGGAACTTAATCTGACTACTGCGCTGAGAGGTGGGGCATTTGGGAAATGATTAGTCATTAGAGTGGAACCCTCATGATTGAATTCTTTGGCTGTATAAAACAGAAAAGACACAGACAGGGGTGCTCCCCATGTCTTGCTGTGTCATGCCCTGGGCCACCTCAAGACTCTGTCAGCATTCACCATGATTTGGCATAGCCTATGGGAGGCCCTGGCAAGAGCCTAAGCTATTCTATTAGACCTTGCTCCTCCAGAACCATGAGCCAAAATAAACCTCTTTTCTTTTTAAAGTAGCCTGCTTCAGAGATTTCATTATAGTAATGAAAAGCTGACTTACTGAGTATCCTCTGAGTGCTAGGGGTTATCAAGTGATCAGACTTAGTGCTTGTCCCCCTCCACCCCCTACACACCTACTCTGTTTCCCTAATTGAAGCTGGAGGATTTATAACTCAGAGTCTAACTAAGGTGAGTCTACCTGAGAGCCTGCCTCATTCTTGGAACCCCTGAGTCCTAAATAGAGCCTATTGTGTGGTCCTCCTGTGGGTGATGTTGGGATACACCAGTGACCACGACAGTCATGAACCCAGACCTCAGGGAACTCACAGTGCAATAGGGGAAAACAGATCCTGGCAGACCCACCACCACCAAACAGGGAGAGCCCAGGGTTATCAGGACCCCCCCCCAGCCCCTGCCCAGGAATAAGAGGGACTAAAAGGAAGGACCTGACCTAGTCTGGGAAGAAGAATCAGAGAGACTTCCTTGAGGAAGTGACAGCTGATTTAGGTCAGGTACGCAAAAGACGTTTCATGCAGAAGAAAACGGCAAGATTAAATACTGTTCACAATGCTTTGATTTTTGAGCCAAATATTTGTATGGCTAGAGAGGGGAACATGAATCAGTTCACAAAAGATCTGTGAACCGTGGTGAGGAATCTGAACTTTTCCCAGAGCACTGGGAAGCCATGGAAGGGTTTCAGCAGGGGAGGGATTTGGTTTTAGGAAGACATCACTGAAGAAGATGGACACATTGGGTAGATCAGTAATTTCACAAATAATTACAATGCCGACGGACACAGGATATGTAAGAGGCCCTGACCAATTTAGGCGTGTGCTGCCTCAAAGACAATATGCAGGAAGCATTGGAGCCAGACTGAGGGGAGGGAGGGAACCAGCCCCTTTCACAGTGTCCTCTCCTAGTCCCCAAGTGACTCCTCATTTACACAAGAAGTGCACTCATTGAGCAAATATAGAGCAGACCTTTAAGTGAGAAAGGGTGCTATGTACAGAAAGAGCATTCCAAGCAAAGGGAAGGAATCCCAAGGCAAAGGCTCTGAAGAGGAAGCCTGTGAGCTACTGCAGTGGTCCAGGCTGAAGGAGATGGTGGCTTGGACTACATGTGGCAGAGGATGATTCTTTTTTATTTTTGCAGTACTGGGGCTTGAACCTTGAGCCACAACACCAGCCCCCCTCCCTTTTGTGTGTGTTGTGTGTGTGATGGGTTTTTTCAAGATTGGGTCTCACGAACTATTTGCCTAGGCTGGCTTTGACCCACAATCCTCCTGATCTCTGCCTCCTGAGTAGCTAGATTAGAGTGTGAGCCACCTGGCGCCTGGCTCATAGGAAGACTCTGAGTATGTTTTTAAGATGAGCCAGAAGCAACAGGATTTCGTGAATATCAGAGTGTGAAACAAAGACAGGAGACAAGGACAACTCTGTAGTAAGAACGATAGGAGTGCCATTTTCCCAGATGGAACTATGTCTTTCAGATCCTTCACAAGCCCAATCTTTAACTCCTAACCTGTGATGTAGGACTTTGAATTTTAAGTCCTCAGCCACCAAATCTTTGTGGAGTTGTGCCTTCTGCGGTTTAAGGAAAAATGGTAATGAGCAGGAAGGTGACATCTGGGCATTGCTCATACCGTGACACCAGGAAACTGGCTCATTTTCAGTCCTCTATTATTCCGTAATAATGAAGGTAGAGATGTTTGTGTTTTCTTCAGCAATGCTTTTGCAACCCTTATAGAAGAGTTTGACATAGGATAAACGTTCAATAACCTTTTTTTTTTTTTGCATACAAAAGTACTTTCAGCCGGGCACCAGTGGCTCACACCTGTAATCCTACCTACTTGGCTAGTTGAAATCGGGAGGATCACAAGTTCCAGGCCAGCACAGGCAAAAAGTTTGTGAGACCCTACCTCAACCAACCGCTGGGTGTGATGGTGTACGCCTGTCATCCCAAATTATGCAGGAGGCTGAGATCGGGAGGACCGCGATTCCAGGCCAGCCCCTCAATGGGGAAAAAGCTGGACATGATGGTACCCGCCTGTCATCCCAGTTACAGCAGCAAACCTAAAATAGATCGCGGTCCAGGCCAACCTGGTAAAGAGCGAGACCCTAGCTCCAAAATAACTGGAGCAAAAAGACCTGGAGGTTGGCTCAAGTGTAGCGTGCCTGCCTAACGAGCAAGGCCTTGAGTTCAAGTTCCAGTACCACCAAAAACAAAAGTGCGTTTTCTGGGACATTTTCCCTACATCCACTCTCCAGTCAGCCTGAGTCATAGAACCCCTTTCACCTGGTAAAGACAGTAGGTGATGAGAACTTGTAACCTAATGTCTGGAGGCGACACACACACACACACACCCCCACCCCACCCCCAGCTTTGTGTGTGTGTGTGTGGTACTGGGGTTTGAACTCAGGGCCTACACCTTGAACCTTGAGCCACTCCACCAGCCCTTTTTTGTGATAGGGTTCTTCGAGATAGGGTCCCGAGAACTATTTGCCTGGGCTGGTTTCAAATCATAATCCTCCTGATCTCAGCCTCCCAAGTAGCTAGGATTACAGACCGAGCCACTAGCGCCTGGTACAGCCCCCACACCCCCGCCTTTTGAAGTGCAGCGCAAGCTCCCCATTGGGCCGGCGGTGATGATGAGTAGGCATTTAGCCCAATGGTAGGTCAGAGTTCTCTTGAGTGGGCGTGGCCTGAGCGCCTCCCGAGGGCCGCTCTAGCTCCCGGGAAGACTCGCCTCTTCCAGCTTCCGGCCGACCTTAATTCCGCTTCCTGTCTGACATCGGCATCTTTGCTGAGGGTCACATTGAGCTGCGCGCTGTATCAGGGGCGTCTTTAGGTGAGTGTGGAGAGTCGGGAGCCTGGGACCCCATCCCAGAGGACGGAGGAGCAGGACTCCATCTTTCCTGAGGACGTGATGAGGCTTCCGGCCAGCGGTGGCGGCCGCCGGCTCCGGGCCCCTGTTGTTCTAATAGTGATAGCTGACCATCACCTAGTTCTTCCTGAATGTCAAGCAGCATTCCAAGCAATTTATATGAACTCATTTAAGTGTCCCTGCAGCCCTGTGAGGTCAGGGCTGTGATTTGTCCCTTTGATAACGAGGAAACTGAAGCTCAGGCTTTCAGCGACCGGGATTTGGACCCAGTAACTCCAGTGGCCTCCGCCGCTGGTCCGGACGGTGGCCTGGCTCCCTTTTGGATGTTGAGGGCCTCGGCATCCTCTTGAGTCCACCGTCCGAATGTAAGGTCGAGATCTTGCACGACTGGGTCTGTCCCAGCGGCTGGTGTTTGGTGCATAGCTCCCACCCCCTAATTCCCCCGGGGCCCCCCAAACCCATATATTCCTAGTGCCCCTACGGTGCCCACCACCGCGTTGGTGTTGGTGAATTTGACATTGGCTTGTGCACTTCTTTGTAGCTCTTGGCTCCTCAGATGCTCTGGAATCCAGGAAGTTTTTCTCGGATTTCCTGTTGAAAGCGGTGTGTCAGCTCTAAAGAGACACCAAAGGTTTTTAACCTTGGGTCCTCAAGTCAGACAGAATTCAAGGAGTTACTAGTACTTGAATGGGTTGAGGGGGTAACAGCTGTCGTTTTACTAACCTCCAATTGAAATGTGATGTTCCTTCAGTTAGGAATGGAGGCTACAACTCGAGTAGATGTAGCAGCATCTGTAACGATGTCAGCAGTCAAAACCAGATATTCTTATGTCACATTATAGTTGCTATGTCATGAGAAACCATTTTCACTCATGATTACTTCAAAATTGTACTTAGTAAATTCTTACCTACGGAAACCTGATTTTTTTTTCCACACTAAATGCATTTAAACATATTCAGAGAAAGAGGTTTATGGGGTTCATCAGATCCTTTGTGGTACCAAAAAGATTAAGAACCTTTGCAAAAAGACTAAAATAAGAAGAGAAAAAAAAATGAAACTTTGCAATGTGAGTTATCTGGATGATTGAGGCAGTCCCACTGTATGTGTGCCGTATGACCTTGGAGGACACCCCTCCCCTTTGTCTAGGCAACAGGAATAGTAATAGTTACGGCTTTTTAGAGTGTTACAGGAGTGATGTCTGTGGACAGCTCCTGGCATATAGTGAGCACACAGTGAGTGTGGCCACGCATTATTTGGGGACCAGGCCTGATTTGCTAAGCAGTTGTCTCCAGCTTGCTATGACTTCCACACTCAGCTCTGTGAATTTGTCCTACCTTTCACCACTGTGTCTATTGAGAAGGAGGAAGTAATAGCTTGTTCACACCAAACTGATTCTTCTGAGTCTGGGCCGCTCTCATTGGGCCTGGTTGGGTTGACATTCCCAAGCTCAGGCCCGAAAAACAGCTGCCAACACCCAGTCCTTTTGCCTCCAGGAGCCAGCACCATGGCTGAAGAGATCAAGAGCAAAATCAAGAACTACAAAACTGCTCCTTTTGACAGTCGCTTCCCTAACCAGAACCAAACCAGGAACTGCTGGCAGAACTACCTAGGTAAGCAGAGCATGAGGGTGGGGTGCAGGCTTTCATCCTGGGCATCCTGTCACCGGAGGGCACATGCCCATTATCAGCAGCTGTGCTCAAGGCGTGGGCCAGGGTCACAAACTTTGATTCCTACAATGATTTTTTTTTTCTTTTTTTTTTTTTTGGCAGTACTGGGGATCAAACCCACAGCTTCATGCTTACTAGGCATGGCGTTCTACCACTTGAGCCATGCCCCCAGCCCTTTTTATTTTGTTTTTGAAACAGTCATAGCAGGACACTGGTGACTTATGCCTATAATCCTAGCTTCTTGGGAGGCTGAGATTGGGAGGAAAATGGTTCAAGGCCAGACTGGGCAAATAGTTCGTGAGACCTCCATCTTCAAAATAACCAGAGCTAAATGGACTGGAGGTATGGCTCATGAAGTAGAGCTCCTGCTTTGCAACTTTGCCTGGGCTGGCCTCAAACTCATGATCCTCCTGCCTCTGGAATAGTTGAGATTACAGGCATATGCCACCATGGCAGCTCTTACAATGATTTTTTTAAAGGGATTGGTATTTGTGTGTGTACATCACCTAACAGAGTAAATAAAACTTGTATAGCCAAATGAATAATTCTAAAATGAGCCCCGTGTGTGATGATACCCCACATAGAAAAATAGATATTGCTAGCACTCTGATCTCTGCCTGCTTTGTGCACAACATTTACTTTCCACCAGAGATGTGACCCCACCAACTTAAGGTCATTGCATCATCTGCCTCTTTGTGAGCTTTAAAAATACTATACGTATTCTTCTATGTTTGGATTTATTCATTCAGCTGTGGCATATGGAACTTTCTACAACTTACACTGTACATGGACACATGTAGGAGGACTTCCATTTTGGAGCTCTTATGAATGTTACTGTTTTTTGGGGGGTTTTTTGTTTTGTTTTTTCCACTGCTGGGGTTTGAACTCAAGGCCTACACCTTGAGCCACTCCACCAGCCCTGTTTTGTGTTGGGTTTTTTTGAGATAGGGTGTCTCAGACTATTTCCCCAGGCTGACTTCAAACCTCAATCCTCCTCATCTCTGCCTCCTGAGTAGCTAGGATTACAGGTGTGAGCCACTGGCACCCGGTGAATGTTATTGTTGAAAACATTCTCTTTTTGTTTTTTTGAGACAAGGTTGGCAGTGTAGCCCAGGCTGGCTTTGAACTTGAGATCCTGAATGCTGAAATTATAGACATGTACCACTATGGCAGCTTAAGCACTGCTTTTTGGGTTTTTTTGTTTTTGTGGTACTCAGGGCCTCACACTTGCTAGGTAGGGGTTCTACCACTTGAGCCACTCTGCCAGTCCCCCAGCTTAAGCATTCTTACAAATGTAACTAGATGTCTGTATGTGTGCCTTTCTCTCCAGGGGATGTGCCCAGGAGTGGAATGCCTGGAACAAATGCTTTTTTGAATTAATTGCCTACTAATTCCTTTTTATTTATTTATTTATTTTTTGGTGGGATTGGGCTTTGCACTTGAAAAGCAAGTGCCACTTGAGCCAAACCTCCAGCAGCCCAATTGTCTGCTTCTTTTGGGAGGTGGGGGCAGCACTAGGGGTTGAACTCAGGGCCTCATGCTTGCTGGGTGGGCACTCTACTACTTGAGCCACTCCGGCAGCTGCCTAACTCTTAAAACTAGATTATCACCTGCCTGCCTTCCTCGCCAGGTCTAGCCTCTTAGCACCAAAACCACTTTCACTTTGCCCTTGTCCTGGACATATGTCCCTCAGGACCCTGGCACTCCTGACTCCCAAAATTTTCAGATTGAGCAACAGTTCTCTAGGGTTGCTGAACCAATTTAGTGAGGTCTGTTTAGCCTTTTAGTACACTTGTAAACCTTTCTTATGTGTGTGTGTGTGTGTGTGTGTGTGTGTGTGTAACTGATCATAGCATTAAAGTATTTCTCACTGAGCCCTTGGTCTGGGCTGACCCTCAACCTGTCTCTCCACAGACTTCCACCGCTGCGAGAAGGCAATGACTGAAAAAGGAGGTGATGTCTCTGTGTGCCAGTGGTACCGGCGTGTGTACAAATCTCTTTGCCCTCTATCTTGGGTATGTGCCTTCCAGTGGGGCCCTTGGGTGCTGGGTTGGGGACTTTAGCAGGGGATGGATGGGGTTTGGTGACAGTGGGAGCTCATCTCCTCGGGGCTTGGAGAGGACAAGGCATCACTGGCTATGTGACTCTTGCCTTTCCTCCTAGAGTTACTTCCCTTCTAGCTTTCAGTGGGGCTTGAGCCATGCCTAGGTGTCAGGCATGGCAGCTAGGGTCACCTCGATAGACCTAGCCCACTCTTGTACTTTGCAGATAGAACCTGTGCAGTCTTCTCCTTTTCTTCCTCTTTCCTCATTTGTTTACTACTTGCTTACTTGTGTTGCTGGGGATGAAACCCATATCCTGAAAAACACTAGGCAGGTGCTCTACCACTGAACTAATCTTTTTATTTTTAATTATTAGCATTTTTACATTATACATAGAAGTAGTAATCTAGTGACCCTAAACTTATCTATCACCCACATTTTTCCTTTTTTTTTTTTGGTGAGACAAGTTTGAACTCAGGGCCAGATGCTTGCAAAGCGGCTGTTGTACCACTTGAACTACACCCCCAGTCCATTTTGCTCTGGCTATTTTGGAGAGGGAGTGATGACACCTCTGCCAAGGCTGGCCTCAAATCACCATCTTCCCTATCTTGGCCTCCCAAGTATCTAGGATTACAGGCATGAGCCACTGGCACCCACTTCCCCCATTTTTTTCATGTATTTCTTTTCTTTTTCTTTCCTTTGCTGACATATTCTAGAGTAAATCTCAGACATGTCATTTCACCCCTACCTGCTTCAGTATACAGCTCCACAAGTAAGGACACAGTAAGGCAATCTTTTTAGCCCTCATCTGACAAGACTTATCAATGTTTAATACTCTCTGCTAGTCATCTTTTTTCTTTTTCCTTCTTTTTTCCCCTGGTCCTGGGGATGAAACCCAGGGCATTGTGCATAGTTGGCACGTGGTCGCCTCCTGAGCTATACATCCTGAGCCCTGCCCTGTTTTTATAAAGAATTTATACTCAGCATTGCCCTCTCTCATCAAATCTGATGACCTCTTCGACTGTAAGACACACTGAGAGATGTTCAAATCTTTTTAAAAGTTGATGAAAATGATTATAATAATCATACTAGTTTCAGAGATGTGTCTTGAAATGAAAATGTGATACTATTCTGAAAGTAAGAGTGCTCATCTCCAAACAACAAAAGTGAGCAGGAGGTAAAAGAAAGAACAGAAACCTTCTGTGATTCACTGTCTCCTTCCTTGAGGGGCTGCTATTAGCTGATCCCACTTTTCTCAGTATAAAGTTACCTTATATAATAAGCCTGTAATAATAAGTTCATAATTGGATGAGCTTTGTGTATATGACTGTTTCATATTGCATATTCTGTTCTGTGACTTGCTTTGACATAGTATGCCTTTGAAGCCTTTTTTATGACAGTGCACATAGATCAGACTTACTTGTTTTAGTAATTTACAAGTGCTTTCATTTAACCGGTCCCCTTTTTGTTTGTTTGTTGTACCAGGGCCTACACCTTGAGCCATTCCACCAGCCCTTTTTTGTATTGGGTATTTTCTTTTTTTCTTCTTTTTTTTTTTTTTTTTTTTTTATTTCTTTTATTCTTACGTGCATACAATGTTTGGGTCATTTCTCCCCCCTTCCCGTGTTGGGTATTTCAATAGACGTTCTCACAAACTATTTGCCTGGGCTGGCTTCAAACAGCGATCCTCCTGATCTCTGCCTCCTGAGTAGCTGGGATTACAGGCGTGAGCCACTGTGCCCAGCATCTGGTCTCCCTTTGATGGATATTATGTTGCAGGTTTTCAGATTTTACACTTTCTGGGCTGCTTTTGGGCTCCTTTCTCGGGTACAAAATGCCTTCAGGGCACTCTTCCTCTGTTCACTTGGCTTTCCTCTCACCCCTCTGACCATTCTGTCTCAAGTATCTTTGGGTCCCCCAGACCCCCAGGATTTCTGCCTGGGTGATGGAGGGTAACAAAATGTGATCCCACAACAGCCCTCATCCAGTATCAGGGCTGCACTGGGTACATGCTGGCCAGAGTGCCAGGAAGTATCTGTGGTCCTGTACTCCCCCACCCCAGCCTACAGGACCTGGGTGGCCCTTACATGGGAGCATCAGCTTTTGTTGTTCTTCCACTCAGGCATCCACTCTTTCTTCTGGGTCAGGGCTGCACCTGCCCCTTTATACCCAGCAACCCTGGCTTCTTTATTCAAAAACTTGGCGTAACTGAAAATACATGCTTGTTTTTTGTTTTTTATGAAAAAAAATACATAACTGTTTCACAGAATCTTAAAAGCTAGGGGAAGAGGCAGGAAGTTTTTCTGTCCTCGCTGATGATAATATAGCATCTTCTAAGATTTTTCTGATTAAAAATAACTGGTCTTGGCTGGGTGCCAGAGGCTCACACCTGTAATCCTAGCTACTCAGGAGGCAGAGATCAGCAGGATCGAGGTTCAAGCCCAGCCCTGGCAAATAGTTCCACGAGACCCTGTCTTGGAAAAAAAATCACAAAAAAGGGCTGGTGGAGTGACTCAAGGGGTAGGGTCTGAGTTCAAGCCCCAGTACTGCAAAAAAAATAAATAAATTTAAAAATAACTGGTCTCTAATCTTAGTTTGTGTATTTGTGGGGGCAAAGGTCAGGGTGGGGTTCAGTATTTTTCATTTAATAGGAGCCTTCTTTATTTTCCACTTTAAAAATATCTTTGGTTTTCCTATAAAAATGATATTAATTCTGTAGTCTTTAAAGACAGAGATTTATACAGTGTAGAGAGTGAAGGCCTCCCAAGCACCCCTATCTGAGCCGCTAGTGGTTGATGTAAATCTTCCGCTCCTTGTCTGTGTGGCTGTGTGTGGGTGTGTGTTCACTTCCTTTGTAGTTATGGATCATTCTCTGCGTGCGGTTTTGCACTCGCCATGCGTCGTACACCTGTTTTCATGCCAGCATACTCACACAGCCATTTGGTGTCCATCAGCTCTAATGGCTTAAAACATTCCCTGATCTTTTAACTGCATGCAGCCTTTTCCCACTATTTTAAATATGCTTCAGTGTGCACAGGCAAAGGTTTTCGTGTGTTGGATGATTTCCTTACTTTCCTTTCTACGATGTGGGATGGGCAGGGCAAAGAGTGAAGTGCTGAAGCTTCAGTCCAGCCCATCATTCATGGCAGTGGATATTTTCAGTACCAGTTCACACAGCTTAAGAAAGGTAGGCCCAGAGACAGATTCAGAGACATCTGCGGACACTAGAAGTCCATTGGCCCTGAAGGTGTTCACCCCCCACTCAAGTCACGGGGAAACAGCTTAAAATAGCAGAGGTTTTGTGGTAATCTTGCAGTGTGGCACAAAAATTACAAAGGTTAATATTGGCAAGTGTCAGCAGGATAGGTTGGTTCACAGGTTGCTGTGGGCCATAGAAACTGGCCTAGGCATTTTTGAGGTCACATTGAGAGAACCTTCAAAAATGAAAAAAATTACCCACCTTTGAATTGGCAATGCCACGTGCTACAAAATCTTCATGTATAAGAATGCTCACTGCAGAGTTGGTTGTGATAGGGAGCAATCGGAAATGACCAGATAGTACATTTGGTTTTTTTGTTTTTGTTTTTGCAGTACTGGGGCTTGAACTCAGAGTCTACACATTGAGCCACTCCATCAGCCCTTTTTTTGTGTTGGGTTTTTTCAAGATAGGGTCTCTCAAACTATTTGCCTGGGTTGGCTTTGAACTGTGATCCTCTTGATCTCTGCCTCTTGAGTAGCTGGGATGACAGGCGTGAGCCGCCACTGTCTGGCTGTGATAGTACATTTGTCTCTAGACTTTATGGAGGACATGTTGAGCTATGTGGCAGACATAGGAAAGCAAGGACAGCTATATAACTGGGGCTTGAACTCAGGGCCTATGCCTTGAGCCACTCCACCAGCCCTTTTTTTTGTGATGGGGTTTTTCAAAATAGGGTCTCGCAAACTATTTGCCTGGGTTGGCTTTGAACCTTGATCCTGCTGATCTCTGCCTGTTGAGTAGCTAGGATTACAGGCATGAGCCACTAGTACCCAGCTCCAGTTGAGGTACTTCTCAAAAAATCGGGAGTATTTATGGAAATGTGTATACATAAAATAAGCACTTACAATAGGACAACTATGTTGTAAGCACCTTGTGTCACAAAGTGCTAAAACAGCTGTTTGAGGCAGATACTATTACCATATCCTCATTCCACAGATTTGGAAACTGAGGCCCAGATAGGTTGAGTCCCTTGCCATGGTCACATAGCCATGAAGTGATGGCGGGAGATTCACATTCAGTGTCCAGTGTCCACTGTCTACAGTTTTATCCACTGCTTCTAAAGTAACTGTGCGGGTATGTGTCTAAAATCGATTGTGCTAATCGATTGTGCTCAGGAAGGGCCACAAAGCAGGATGAACTTGGGAAGGTGAACACTTTGATATGGACTTTCTTGTCATTTATTATGGCGTGCATACATCTGTGATGAGCAGTGGGATCTCCCTGTGTTCTCTGTTTGGTACCTTTTTGCACTTGACTACAGACCTTGCAGATCCATTCATGCCAGAACATCAGCTCAGCCTCATCCTTTTCACAGCTGCCTAGTATTCCATCTTCCCTCTTTTCTGACAAACAGCATAGTATTGGCTCTAGGATTCCTGGAGCAGACCACAGCCCCACTATTGAAGTTCTCAACAGTAAAAGATTCCCCTAGCAACTTGCCTGCTGTGAGCCTGGGGTTTTTCTGCTGTTAACCCCCAGCGTGTTAGCTCTCTTAAGATAGGATTTTTGTCTTTTTGGGGTCATTTGATTCCTTGGCTCCTGGAACAGTGGTTGGCCCAGATCAGGCATCAGTGGTTTCTTGTTGACCAGATGTACAGATTACAAAGTGGTGAGTAACAACACTGCCGTCTTTCCGCAGGTCTCAGCCTGGGACGACCGCCTGGCAGAAGGCACATTTCCAGGGAAGATCTGAGCCGGCTCCAGCCCACCTCTCCTGTCCTTTGTCCTTCTCAGGGTAGTGAAGGGGGACCCTGGGAACGTGATGGTCCCAACCCTGGGACTCTGGATCATGACTTTACTCATAATAAAAATTCACTGAGAAGGTGTTAGCCCGTGTGTGAGAGTTGGACAGCCGAGTGATTCAAAACACTGGCTGTAAGAGGCCTTCCAGTGGCCATTGAACTCTGACCAACTCCTAGTCCCTCATCTACTGAAACTGACCTGTCTGCCTTTTTCTGTGTAGATTGCTCTTTTTTTTTTGGTGGTACCGGGGTTTGAACTCAGGGCTTCATGCTTGCTAAGGCGCTTAGCCAGCCCTGAGACAGGGTCTTGCCAAGTTTCCCAGGCTATTCTTGAACTTGTGATTCCTTCCGCCTTGAATTAGTAGCTGGAATTACAGGTGTGGACCACCACACCAGCCCTTTTTTTTTTTTTTTTTTTTTTTTTTTTTGTGATTGGGGATTGAACTCAGGGCTTCATGCTTGCAAAACAGACACTCTACTGCTTGAGCCACTCTGGTCCATTTTGGTCTGGTTATTTTGGAGATGGGGTCTCATGAACTTTTGCCCGGGCTGTCCTCAAACTTCAATCCTCGCAATCTCAGCCTCCCCAAGTAGTGCATGTGTAGGGACCTTGAGGAACTTCTATGGCATGCCTTGGCAACAGCAAAGAACTTGCAAACACAAGGAAAATTTCAAATGAGACAGTAGGATGTCCAGTGGAGAGTCAGGTTAGGGCTCAGATCCCAACCACCAGGGCTCTGCCAGGGACGGCCACCACTCAGATCCTTCAGCTTTCCTCCAAAGATGATCCCACACCTGGAAGCACTCATAAATGCAGGTCTTTGATTTCATGACTCATATGGCCCTTCCATGTCCTCCAACACTGGCCTTCTTGGTGTGCAGGAACTATACAGGAAATGAGACTAAACACCAGGTTGGCTCCAAACCCGGTTTCCTCATGGTGTCGTTTATCTTCTCCCACAGCACCCCACAACCTTGCACATAAGATGTGTCTTAACAGTGGTCCGACCTGAACCTTTGCAGAATGCCTGGTGATTACTCCTGCCACAAGGTAAGCAGGCAGACTCCTCTGGAGTGGCATGAGGCACTTTTATCCACTTCTGCAGTGACATCAAGCCTATTTCTCAACTCTGTCTTATTTCAGAGTTCAGATGAACCCAGGACTTTTTTTTTTTTTTTCAGCACCGAGGTTTGAACTCAGGGCCTTTATGCTAGGCAGGTTCCGTACCACTTGAACCACTCCACCAGAACACAGGACTTTCCACCCTGTTTACCCTGCAGACGTAGTGCAGGCTCTAAAACTACCTGCTGAGCACACCCCAAGCCTTCCAGCCCCTCATTGAGCAGCATATTGACCCTTTGTACAAGAGGAAACAGGCTTCCACCCCCTGCTCCCAGGTCAAGCAGCCTTTGGAGTGTGTCTGTAGGAGTGTTCAGGGCAGGAAACAAACCGCCCAAGGTATGTTAAGCAGAAGGGGCTTTAGTGTGAGGAATTTGGTGTGATAAAACCCTGTAATGATATGAATGTAATATGACAGAACCCTCAAGATCTAGCAGATGTAATTGGCTTCCCTCACACCCTCATTTCATTATATTCAATTCAACATGACCCCACATTTTATAGGTTTGGATATAGCTCTGTGGTAGAGTTTTAAATTATTTTTAAATACCTGGCATTCCAGCTAATAAATAGAGAAGGAAAGAGAATTAGAATATCCTCAACCAGGTGCTGGTGGCTCACACCTGTAATCCTAGCTACTCAGTAGTCAGAGATCAGGAAGGTCTCAGTTTGAAGCCAGCCAGGGAAAATAGTTCAAGAGACCTTGTCTCAAAAATTCCCATCACAAAAAGGGCTGTGGAGTGGCTCAAGGTGTAGGCCCCTGAGTTCAAACCCCAGTACTGCAAAAAAAAAAAACAACCAAAACTCTATTTTGTAACCCCCAAGTGGGTCTGGGCGTTGGGCAGAAATGGCTGCAGACATCCCCAGAAGAGAGACAGTTGCTATGGTCTGAATGTGTCTCCTCAGAATTCACGTGTTGAAATCCTTCCCCCTCAGGTGGCATGGGGAAGTGGGCTTTGGAAGGGATACTGGTTACTTTTCTCATCACTACAACCAAAAACCTGACAGAAACCACTTAGCAGAAGGGAAGACAGACTCATTTTGGCTCGTGGTTTCAGAGGGTGCAGTCCATGGTTAGCTGGCTCCAGCGCTTGGCAGAACCACATGGCATCATGGTGGTGGCATCTGTTCACCTCATGGCAGAGAGGAGAGAACACCATACTGCCCTTCCTTCAGCCAGGCCCCTCCTCCCACAGTTCCACCACCTCCCAAAGAATCCAGACAGTCCATCAGTAGGTCAAGCCATTCATTATGACAGAACCCTCAGGATCTAGTCATGCAAGCCCCTCACAGATGTAACCAGAGGTGTCATTTAGTTAGACAAGAAACCAAAGATCCCTTTCCCCTTCTGTCATGTGAGGATGCAGAGCACAGTGAGCCAGAAAGCAGGCATTCCCCAGACCCTGTGCCTTCACCGTGGGCTCAAACCTGAAGAAATGAAGTCCTGCTGTTGGCAAGACAGGTGGATGTTTTGTTAGGAGTTTTCTTTTGGTAGTCTGAATGGAACGGCACTCACACTCACCACTGCCTATGAAGCAGTTCTGTCCACAAGTCAGTCATCATACCGGGGTTTGCGCTCAGGGCCTCAAGCTTGCTAGGCAGGCACTCTACCACTTGAGCCACTCTCCCAGCCCTGTTTTGTGTTGGGTACTTTTGAGATAGGATCTCAAGAACTATTTGCCCAGATTTACCTTGAACTTTGATCCTCCTGATCTCTGCCTCCTGAGTATTAGGATTATAGGTGTGAGCCAGCTGCACCTGGCTAAATTCAACTTCTAATTTTCAGGAATTACAAATAACGGGAACTGATTAAACTGTACCATAGGGGCAATCGGAAAAAGCCAAATTCAGTGGTGGGTAGTGGCTCACACCTGTCATCCCAGCTACTCAAGAGGTAGAATTTGGGAGGATTGCGTTATAAGGTCAGCCCTGCAAAATGCTGGGGAGGCCCCTATCTCAACCAATAAGCTGGGTGTGGTAGCATACATCCCAGCTACACAGGAAGCATAAAAAGGAGAATCATGGTCCAGGCATAAATGCAATACAGTATTCAAAAATAACAAAAACAAAAAGGGCTGGGGTGTGGCTCAAGTGGTAGAGCACCTGCCTCCTATACATGAGGCCCTGGAGTTACCAGCTTCCAGGCTCTGCTGCACTGCTCTAGCTGTAGCCTTCCCTTTCTCTCTAATAAATCCTACTTTATATAAAATAAATAAACATGAGTCCCTGGGTTCAAACCTCAGTAATGTAAAAAAAGATTACTTGTAAACCTTTCCCACCTTTTATGCTGATTTTCTCAGGTGTTTTGTTATAGTAACAAAAGCTGACTAACAGTCTGCATATCACAGTGTGTCTTTGCTGAAATAATGTCACTTGGAATTGACAATTTAACCTATGAAATATTCTTGCAAAAAGTTCTTTAAACATCAAACCTGAACCTAATCTTTCTAACTTAGTGTCGCTGATATTTGGCTGCTTGTGGGGATGACCCAGGACACTTTATCAAATTTTAAAGCTTAGACCCTAACCCAGGAAGTTGTGGGACACAGGCAGTGGTAGGGATGCTAACATGCCCCAGGAGCTCTGTGGTGGTGCAGAAGGAGCAGCAGAACCAGGTTGGAAGGCACATTTGAGGTGCTCAGGGATCTTGTTAAAGTGCGGATCCCCTGGGGCCCCAGATTCAGCTTTTCAACTGGCTCCCAAGTGGTGCTGGTGTTCATCACTTGGGGAGATCCTACAGGGAAGGGGCCTGGGGTAGCTCTAATGGCCAGTTTACAGTGTGCGTGGCAGTAAGAGCAGTAACACAGAGAGAGACCTGAGATACCCCATCTTAGTAAACAATTTGGTAATATCTTTTTGGGTTGAATTTATAACTCACAAGTATATAAAATAGTTCAGTTTTTGGTATGTTCAGAAAGGCACACAACTGCCATTGCTGTCTATTTCCAGAATATTCTCGTCACCTGCAAAGAAACCTGAATCCATGAGTAGCCACTTCTGACCCCCTCCTCCAGCCCTGCTCACTTACCTACCCTGCGGCCTTACCTACCCTGGCATTTCCTACAAATGCAGTCACACTGTGCATGACCTTTTGTGTCCACCCTCTGGCACTTGACATGCTTTCACAGTACACCCGTGTTGTAACATCAGTCAGTACTGCATCCCTCTTCATGGCTGAATAATGTTCCATCAGGTGCATATACCATATTTTGCTTAGGCAATCATCAGTGGATCAAAATTTCAGTTGATTCTGGGACTGTTGTGAATAATGGTGCTATGAAGTTTCATATACACATCTCTGTATGAACGCACATGTGAATGCTCTCAGATACGCAGACCTGCCAGAGCCTATGATGGCTGTTTTTAGCCATGTGAGGGAGAGCCGCACTGTCTTCCATGGCTGCTGCATTGTCTTCCACCCCCAGCAGCATGCGAGGGTCCAGTTTCTCCATAACCTCATCAACACGTTTTTTGGAGAGGGGGCAGTACTGGGGTTTGAACTCAGGGTTTGCGAAGCAGGCACTCTGCAGCTTGAGCCACACCTCCAGTTCATTTTGCTTTGGTAATTTTGGGGATGAGGTCTTACATTTTGCCCAGCCTGGACTGCCATCTTACTTTATTTATTTATTTATTTTTATTTATTTATTTTGCAGTCCTGGGGTTTGAACTCAGGGCCTACTCCTTGAGCTGCTCCACCAGCCCTTTTTTGTGATGGGTATTTCCAAGATAGGGTGTCCCAAAGTATTTGCCTGTGCTGACTTTGAACCAGGATCCTCCTGATCTCTGCCTCCTAAGTAGCTGGGATTATAGACGCCCTGCTGTTGATAGGGGCATTGCGGCCAGCAGGGGGCGCTGGAAGAAAATGGGATGTGGTGCTGTTAGGGAATATATTTAAAACAGGGAATGTCTTGTGGGGAGTGGTGAGCCCTAGCGGTGTGGGTTCACTCAGCCTGTGACACCTGAGATCTGAAAAAGACGGGAAG